ATGCTCTCGTCGCGCGACCAAAGAGTTTCCTCGACCGGGCGAGATCCCCCCTCGAATAGAAGCAAAAGGTTCGGAGCAAGGAAATCGAACTCGGAACCCACCGACGCGTCGCGCGACCAGCTTACGCGGTACACGATGACATCGTGCCGGCTCGATGACGCTGCAGAATGTAACGTAGCTCGTGTCACCGTTGGGGGTCCGAGAGTTGCGGTGCTCGCCACCCGGGGGGCTACATGTGTCGGGTACCCATCGTCTCCTGCGGCCCCCTCTTCCAGGGGACCGCGTATCCTTTCAAGTGTCCGACACAACTCCGATACAGGACCCCCGGGAATCGGTGAAATCATTATTTTATATCTGCCACGCTTTTCGATCTCTCTCTCTCTCTCTCTCTCTCTCTCTTTCCCTTTCTCTTTCTCTTTCTATCCCACTCCAATTCTTTATTCTTTTAATCCAGTCTAAGTCGTCACGTTTCGACACATTATCAATATCATCTGATATTGGTATTTATATCTTACCTAATCTCAATGTCCTGATAGATATATATGGCGAGTTTCCGAATGCAATGCCGATTGTTACACCGAGAAGTTCGTCGCTCAAAATTCCTTGCAAGATCCGTCCGATTTTCTCATTTGCCAAAGTGTTGAAACACTATGAAACGCGCGATCGTAAGTTTGCTTCTGAGCGAAAGTCGAATAACTGAAATGATAAACGTTGGTTTATGGTCGCATGGGAAAGGGGCAAAAGGAATAGGAAAGAGTCCTTGTTCGTCGAAATCGTAGCGCGTGTTTCCCTGAACGGCCCTGAAACGAATTCTCCTTCGCGTACACCGAGAGAGAACGAAAGCACATATTGACGCCACGTGCGCTTCGGGATGTTTATCCCAGGAAGAGCAAAATTCCGGCTTGCTGAAATCAATATTATTGTTCGCGGTTGGCTAAATTTGAATCGCGATTCGGTTGCAGCGCGTAATGCCGCGCGTGCACCAGAGATCGAGAACGTACGATTGGTGCGACGAACGATTGGTAAGCAACGATGCTCCAGGACAGAACGAACAAACTCGTTTCCGTGCGAAAACAGGCCGACCCGACTTTGTTTCGCGAATGAGACTCGTACTCTTCATCAAAAGAATATTATAACTAGATCGCAAAATCAAACAGTGGTTAGAGTTTACGATTCTCGATGATCGATAAAAATGGAAAGTATCGGGCATCTTGCGCCTCGCACAGAGCTGTACGTAGTCAATTCGTCGAATGTCAATTCTTAAATAAAATAATACAAGCGTCTTTATACCTAACGCATAGATTCAACATAGACGCGCGCTATTGAGATCAAAATGGTTGCAACGAACTTGCATTTTCTTTGCAAAGGTGTCAATGGTCGAACACTGTATTGACGAATTTTAATATTTCTGCTTGACGTGCTAGAGTTTTCGGAACACCATCTCGTTCGTCCAAGTTTCTCATTACAGACCCTGGATCTGTATATCAGCGGACAACTACGGCATTGAAACAAATTCTTTGTACGCGGTAAACGTATTCAAAGCCGAAGTATATACAGTGATCGCGAAAGGCAGGTGGTTAGAAAACGTATATAAAAGCGTTCGATGTAATAGAGAATTATTGAAATAAAGCGACGAAGGCGGAATGCGTACGATTATAGACGTGGCCAGATCGATCGATCAGGCTAGTTAGCGCGGCTTCGTTCTACGATCTCGCTATATTCTTTCCCTTCGGGACTACGTGTTGCGTAAAAAGAGAAACAAAAATTGCGCAGCTCGTTCGTTAGGCGGCAGCAGAGCGTGCATTTCCCTCGCGATAGACCCGCGTCGACATTGGGATAAAAACCGTAGCAATCCGTAATCCGCCCAAGTGTCTCGAGCATTTCCGAGGGTCTGAGTGCGCGTTTACGCACCACCAGCAAGTTAATCCTGCAAAGTGCGAGCAAGATGCCTCCTTTGATCTCGCACAAAAGCCGCTACACGGCATTGACCGTGGTTTATATATGCTCATGTATGGGCCACTGTCTTTGCTAGCTCACTCATTCATTAAATTCGTTGTATAATTAGGCTCGCCAGAAAGATGCAGACTGTCAACCGATGATTCCTGTGCACCAGCGCAACGAAAAGAAGAAGCTTCAACTCGCTCCTGAATTTATGCCCTCGCATTCTCCCTGTTCCACTATTTCTCCTCCCGATGATCCTTCTTTTTCCCGATGTGACTCGCGAGAACGTAAAGTCACGTTCGCAGTGATCTAATTATATGGCTCGCGGGGAACTGCTAACTCAGTCACGGGACAAGGAAATTTGCAAATGCGATTATTTTCATCGAGAGAGAGAGAGAGAGAGAGAGAGAGAGAGAGAGAGAGAGAGAGAGAGAGAGAGAGAGAGAGAGAGAGAGAGAGAGAGAGAGAGAGAGAGAGAGAGAGAGAGAGAGAGAGAGAGAGAGAGAGAGAGAGAGAGAGAGAGAGAGAGAGAGAGAGAGAGAGAGAGAGAGAGAGAGAGAGAGAGAGAGAGAGAGAGAGAGAGAGAGAGAGAGAGAGAGAGAGAGAGAGAGAGAGAGAGAGAGAGAGAGAGAGAGAGAGAGAGAGAGAGAGAGAGAGAGAGAGAGAGAGAGAGAGAGAGAGAGAGAGAGAGAGAGAGAGAGAGAGAGAGAGAGAGAGAGAGAGAGAGAGAGAGAGAGAGAGAGAGAGAGAGAGAGAGAGAGAGAGAGAGAGAGAGAGTTATTTTCATCTAGAGAGAGAGAGAGAGAGAGAGAGAGAGAGAGAGAAAGAGAGAGGTCTATTTGTTCGCATGACGATCGAATTTGTTCGAAATTGATCGACTTTGTTGCAGAAGAAGAATCGCAGCGGAAAGCCGATGCGACTAGGTTTTCACGAGCGTTACGATAAACGGGAAAAAGTTCTAATTCGGTCGAACAACGAGGCGCTACGAAAAGCGTGGCATTCGAAAACGAAGCGAATCATAGCGAATGATTTTCGAAGACAGGATGGACACACGAAGGATCCGAGAGAAGTCGAGGAGCCGAGTCGAGAAGAAGAACAGAAAAGGAACAAGATCCTAGATATCCCCCACCAGATGCAGAGGTGGTCCACGGAACCGCCTCCGCGATCTACCATCCAACGTTTGGTGCGTGTGCCAGACGTGTGCTCATCGTTTCTGCCTCTTTCGTACGGACCAACCTGTGTGGTGCTCGCTCCCTGAATGAACCTTCACATCCTCGTCGATCCGTGTTCGTCTTTCTTCTCTAGTCAGCCAGTCAGTCAGTTAGCTATCGGAGTTTCCTTGAACCGTCGCGGGTGCTATTTTCTATGCCATTTTTTTTTTATTTTATAATCGACGCGATCGGATTACGACGATTAGAAACACGTCTTAAAGAATTCGAATTCGATACAGAGATCGTTGTTACACGGATGACGAGTAATCAGCGGTCGGAGTGCGAACCAAGGAAAAGAATAAATCGAGTCGCGAACGTACCAAAACCCGTAAACGATATTTATCGTGCGAGATAAGAAGAAGGGCCGGTCGCTGAGAGAGTGGCGGAAATCGATGCGACGCCGATATACGGACTACCAGGAGGGACAAGGGTCGGTTTATGATAAATCACGGCACGATAACCTCGGATTAATTACTCGGTTCTTTTCTTCGTTTTCCTCGGTTCTTTACGATGCGCCTCTCGACGACGCGTTTTACGTGAAGAAAGAACAGTGTGCGCAGGATAGAGCGGCAGGCGGGCCGATAAGTTCGACGTTTCGGTGAAAGTCGTTGCTCGCGGTCAAACGCGACTGGTCGTGCTATCTACAAAAAGAAAAAGAAAAAGGACGTTCGTTCGACAAGGAAGAAGATCGTCCGTGTTACGAATGTGAATATCTACGATAAGTAATTGGAAATAACATTGAGGAAGATGGAAGCCCACCAAGGTGGCGGTTTATCGTCTGCTGCGACAGAAACGGAAGCTGGACCGTCGAGCAGCGAACGATGCGGCAACGAGCAATGCACCAGCACTCTGGACGATGCAGTGGGCAAGCTACTTCAAGGTTCGCTTCTCTCGTTTTGAAAGATTCGACGATTCTTTATTAGAGTTAAGAATGTTCCACGTTTACTCGTTTCTTGCTTCTCTTTCCTCTGCTCGCCTTTCTACGTCTACGTAATCTGAAAAATAGCAGCGGACACCGTCGGAGTCGATAGAGGTCGGGCGAAGCTAGTTTTGGAAATATCAAGCGTAGAGCGGGAATTCGTCTTTTTCGGTTGTCGACCGTGTCGTACAGGGTTGCGAGTATCTCGAACGGGTCTCGCGTCTAAGGACACTTTAATTGGCGATGAAACTCGGCTCCTCAGATTTATCCCCGTGATACCGTAGCCGGATGGAGGGAAAATATGGGCGAGCATGATGGAAGAGGTAGGAAAGAAGGAGGAGCGACACGGAGAACCGAGGATCGAGGAGCGCGAAAAGACGATTTCGAGGAAGATTCGAGCGGCAGGTGCTGCGAACAGAGCGAAACCGCTGAACGTTTGCCACCGACACTAATTATGTTAGTACGAAATTAAATCTGAGACATCGACTCGAAAGGGTACCTCAGACAGAACACGGGAGAAGGTGGGGACCAAGAAGAGCGGTAGTAATGGGTGCCCGACGTGATTTACGAGGCGTCTCGTTGGAACTCCGCGTTCCCCGAACGTGTTTCGAAGAGGCAGAAGACGCGTCTTCGGACGAGACACGTCGAATCCATCGTTCTCTAATCGTCCAACCGTTTCATTCGTCTTTAAATCATCGCGTAACCAACCCGAATAGAAGAAGTAGTTGCTCGATGCAAGTTACTCGATACACCCTGTAATCGCAAAACGTTGCACGAAACGCTCCCGCATCGCCTTATATCAACCGCACAACGATATCTGTGCGAAATATCACGGAGGAAGCGATAAAATTGCAATTTGATCGATCGATCGATTCGCAACATGGGAAACCAAACGTTCTCGTCAATCACCGAAGGTGACGATGCGTTCAACGGTATCCTCACTTGTTAACGAGACTATCTTCGTGGTAATGGGAGCTGATTTGTACAGTAGTTAATGTAGCAAGAGTGGACGACAGGTCGGCATTGACAAGCAAGATACCAAAGCACACCGGTTCATTCAGCGGGCTACAATCCCTTATTATGAACCATATTCTCCGTCTCCCCTGCGGAGCCATTCATCCTTTGGAAAAGTACGAAAGTTCTCGGCCAATCTCCTCCTCTTTCGCTCGATTAATCAATTCCACTCCACTTGTAGCTTCCCTATCTCTACTATCTTTGCGTACTTCGAAAGCACGTGTTTCCCCTCTCAATCTCGAGAACGTTCAAACTAAACGCGCGATTTTCCTCGAAAACGTTCTCGACGACCATCGCCGATAAACGTTCGCTGTTGCTGCCGTTTCGTTGGGTGCGCTTCGAGGAAGACACAGTCGAACACGCGCGATTAGAAACGAAACTCGTTCGTTCCCAAGTCGTGTATATTTTTCGCGCGAAACTTTTTCTATTCCCGTCGCTTTCTAGGGTGTAAGCCCTGCCGAATTTCCATGAAAATTGTCGTCCTGGTTGCTATCGGTGAAGACAGTAGCGAGAGGACCTCCAGCGAACGTTAAAGGAGCCGACAGAGAGACCGCATCGGTGAACCGTGTCCTTATGGTAATTAGCTACCACGAAATCTACGGCTCTTCACAGTTCGGATGCTCGTGGTGACGTTTCAACACGTGCATCTTCCTTCTCCTTAACCTTCCTTCCTATCTTCCTACTTCCTTCCCTCGTTAACGATCACCGATACACAGCGATTCGAAATAAATGTCTCGATGCTCGGTAGTCTTCTTTCTTTCTGACGGATCGAGTTGCACATATAATCGCTTACGACGATACATTTATAACAAGTTTTTATGAATATACGTTATGCGTATGAAAGAAATCTGAATATGTACAGAACAGAATTCGCGGTCTAATAATAAGTCCGATTATTCTGTGCAAAGTTCAAGGTTGAATTTTAAGACGTTCAAGTTTAGACGACTCAAATGACTCTACTTTACTACAAATATCCGCAAATGTCCACTAACGATAAAGTACGTATACCGTTGATACAAAGAAAATGGCACGCGACCGATGAGACGATGAACGAAGCATGTTCGCGGAATATTCGATGTGTATCGGATATACGATGAGATTTCTTGGAATGGAAAACTCGAGGCGACCCAAATAACCTTTCTTTAGCCGGCGAATCGTTCGTAGGGGGATACCGAGAGGAAGTCGGTAATAATAATTAGTCTCTTAATGCGAACGAACGATCGATAGATAAAGACCACCACGTTCGGAACTTCTCGTTCGTTTGCAACTCGTAAAACTTTTCTGTCTGATGCTGCGTTCGTTCATGACTATGAATGATCGTTACGAGAAATATACGAAAGAGAACAAGAATGGGAGAACGGGGAACACGCGCTAAAAGTATTAACGGTTTGGCCAACCAGAGATTAAGATTATTTCAAGGGAAACAGGTGTCGTTTTATCTCTCCCGTTCCTTTACGATTCAATTCCGCGCAAAGATAGGCTACGCAACTTCCGGCTACACAAATTCCCACTAAACACGGTGCCGTTTCCTCTTCTTCTTAACATTCGCCAAACGTTGCTCTTCTACCATTCGCGACATCAGAAAATTTGCCCTAGATCAGCGTTGTCGTTGTTCGGGTATTTCAGACGTATGTTCGCAACATTCTTTCATAGCAAGTAAATATGCCGATATAACGGATGTAGCGAACAATGCTAATATCTATGGCCGGCGGTGTACGTGATATTCGCGATGAAAAATATTCCAAAGATCTATCTTCGTTTTTTCCAGGCTACGACTGGACCCTGCTTCCGGTCACTTCTCGCGCAGGAGGACGAAGAAGCGCTCACGTGAAACGTCCGATGAACGCGTTTATGGTTTGGGCTCAAGCGGCCAGACGCAGATTGGCGGATCAATATCCGCAGCTTCACAACGCCGAACTTTCGAAAACGTTAGGAAAACTGTGGAGGTATTTCGAGCTGACATTATCTATATACATTACCGTACGTCGTAGTGTCGCGAATCGAAGGTTAACTCTAGCGAATGTAACAGAATCCTAAGCGACGGTGAGAAACAACCGTTCATAGAGGAAGCTGAGAGACTGAGGAACGCGCACAAAAAGCAACATCCGCATTACAAGGTGACTGTCGACGATCGTTCTAACGACGATCGTTCCAGTTTAGTCCGCCGTCTAAAGTTAAATCGTAAAATGCCAATTACAGTATCAGCCGCGTCGACGGAAACCAAAATCGGAGGAACAAATGGGCATCGTGATGCATCGAGCTACTTTGTCCTCTCCAGGCACGTCTCTAGACTCTACCAACTCGTCCGACTGCACTTATCCTCGCCTATATCCAGATACCGGGATCAAAACGTACGACAGACCGACTTACCACGATAGCAAAACCAGCTACGATCTGTCGAGATCGGCTTGGTCCGCCGACACGAGCAAATACCCGGTCGATCATTCGATCGTAGAAAGCAAACCGTACGACGGTATCAGATACGAATCGAACGTAGCGGCGAAAAGCTACGTGGACGCCAAGTGCTACGAGACGGTCAAGTATCACGAGGTATCTACCGCTGCAAAATATCACGAGACGATTCCAAAGTATTCCGAGTTGCAAACGAAGCCTTACGATCTACCCAAATACCCGGAGAATCCCTTAAAATATCCCGCGGATGTTACCAGCCCGGGCAAATCATACGCGTGCGTACACAGCCAGTATTACTCCGCTCCAGAGGGATACACTATGCACGAGGAGAACGAATACCAAACGCAGGGAGTTTCGACCCATTCTTTCTATCCGTATATTTCCGCGTCTATGACGCAACCGCCTTATTACATGGGTCCTCGATAAATCGCTCTCGTGCGATGTGTTTTATTCAGGGACCGAAAATAACAGTTGTTTTCTATATTTTTACGGAAAATTTCGACAAAAAATGAATTTTTGCTTAAACAAAAAATTTTTAACAGACTAAATGATTTAAAATCGGTAATTTTTAGGTATTCTAGTTACGAATAACTATTATAAATGATTAACATTTTTTTTTTTTTTTTTTTGGTTATCGATCATCATCATCGATGACGGAAATTATTTTAGATTACAGGTAATCGTTATGGACGATGAGAACATTTTTCGGTTATTGGTAACCATTACTGGTAACGCAGTTTGTTTTTTTATTACCGATAACCATTATCAATGACGGAACCTTCCTTTCTTAAGAATAACAAAATTTTAATCATTTATAATAATGATTAGTCCTGACCAAACTCATTTAGAATAAAATACGAATTCTTATACCATAACTTTCTCAATTTCGGTTACAACAATCATGGTCCCTGGTTTTATTCGTTCGCGTAATTCTGCGCCCGAGATGAACGTGCGCGCCAGTGTGTGGGCATCGATAGTTTGTTAGACCGCTTAGTACTGTCTTTTCTTTCTTTGCTATTTATTTTTTTGGCAACAATGCGATGAAATAAACAAATAAATAAACGAACAAATATCTTGTCAGCATCTAGTTTGATGAAGAAATACGAGTTGCCTATATGTACAGTATAATTCACTCTCTATTATTTATTAGTAGACTGCGAATATTTATACCGATTCAAATTTTTATAAATACAACGAAGCAGATTCTAAACAGAGATTCTTTCGTCTACTAAGTATCCTATTCTCGATATTTTTGCATTTTCAAATTTCACAAAAATGCATAAACATCCGCAGTCTATCATACACCACCACCATTTCTAAAACCGCCATCAATCCTACATTCACCTATCGAGCACACGCGCTACTTTATGTTTTATACATATGTGTGTGTGTGTGTGTGTGCATGTGTGTGTGTGTAAATAAATTAAATCTAGAAATGAAAAGTCTGCATTGAAATAGAAAGCAGAAATAAATAATAAATTGTGCGCTACTTCGTCGATTACAAATATCACGGGCCGACTAGTAAGTTTGCTTCGATACAAAATTTCCTAAATAATTCTTAATCGTCGAAATCCTCAACAACAATCGTATGTATGTACAAAACATTAACAAACAATCAATTTAATATAAATAAGAAGGCAAAAAACGAAAGAAAGAGAAATGGAGGACGAAAGAGAGAGATTCGTACTTTTGAGTGGGTGCAGTACAAGCATACGTACATGTTCGCAAAGAAATCAGCAACTCGTACATATTTGATTCTCACGAATCTGTACCGACTTAGAGATCGCGATTTATCACAGCAGCTAATTCATTTATTTGATCCCTATTGGCATGCATAAACGCTTTAGCGCTCCATATCATTTCAGCCAAAATCTCGTCGCTTTTTTCATCCATGGCGATATCCTGGGATAGTTGAGGATTAAACCTGTAGTAAGGCACTCCGATCATGGAACACCAATTTCTGGCACGATCAACGATCCTTCCGTCGCTTGCTGTTGCTTGATCCACCAATAGTACCGCGAGGACCGATATTCCCATCGCAAACTTTGCGGTATCCCATAAACTATCGGGCCGAAATATGTCGATATCTTTCAATGGACTAGAAGGTATGAGACCAGTGCCAAGAGAAACAACCAGAGACAAGGGGACCGCATTCTCTCCGCATCCAGAAGCCTTTAAAGCGAGATTGTATTCGTGAATTTCAGTCATGGCATCCAAAGTCGGGTTATTCGCTATCAATCCACCATCCAGAAATTTTCCGAACGCTCGAAAATACGATGGAGCTGCCCCGGTTGCTCTCGCTGCGTGCCAAAGCAATTGTTCGCTCGATGACGAAGCGAGAGACATCGAGGTCTCTGGATGCTCGAGTAGCGTACTAGGTGCATCGTAATTACGAAACAAATAAAGGTCGACAGGCTTTCTATCAGCCAATACAGCAGTGATCATTATCTTGGGTTTCTTGATATCCGACATCACCGTATTAACACCTAGGCAATCTTTTAATACTTTCTCCAAACCGTCGCTGTTGTACGGGCGATTACCGACAAAAGCTTCCTCTTTCATGCGGAAATACAGTGCCTGACATTCTCGCAAGGACTTGCCAGCAGCTAGACCAAGAGTCAAGATTCCACCTGTAGAAGTGCCCGCGATCCAGTCGAAGCACTCTACGATAGGTTTCTGCAGGATCGACTCGATCTCCAATAACATTTGTACAAGAACCAAACCACGAATTCCTCCTCCATCTAGACAAAGAAGTCGACCACCTTTTATTTTCTGGTTTTCTTGCATAGCCATCTTGTCCATCCCAGAAACATGTAACATTTGATCCAACACTGTACGCGGTACAGCCCTTGGTGGTTGCTGCGGTGCGAGACCATTATAATTTTCGTTAAACTTGCAGCCTTTGTTACAATCTGACATTTCTGGTGGACAACGTTTAGCGCCTACCGCATCTAGAATATACAAAATTTTCTGACCCTCGTTGTTATCGATATTCACACGATGCCGTGACGTTTCCGACTTCCAATTTTTTGCATCAATGTCTGCTCCGAAAGCGATCAGCGACTGCACTATTGCCACTGTACCATCGGAAACCGCTAAATGCAGCGGTGTATTGCCATCCTTGTCGACGATATTTACAGAACACATATGACTTAACAAAGCCACTACGCATGATAATCGTTTCCTCATTGCCATGATGTGCAACGCCGTACGGCCGTCGAAATTCAAAGCATCTATATCGCAATTACTTTCTATTAGAGCATTAATCACCTCCCTGCTCAGTGACCAATGCAATGGCGTACCGCCAAATTTCATGTCATCGGCATGAAGAACATTTGGTTTACTGTGCAAGAAATCTCCTACGTAACTAGGACTAGAAGGTTCACCTTCGGCAGCGGGAATGTTCACATCCGCTCCAATTAAAAGAAGAGCTTTAACGCATTCGGGCTTATTATTCAAACAAGCGACATGCATCGGTGTATGTCCATTACTGTTACGACTATTTAAACTGTTTGGAAGATCACCTCCAAGGGCTAAAATTATTTCTTTAGTAGATTTGGCTGCATAATGATAGACGGTATTTGCGCTATAATCCAGATGCTCCAATGAACTTTTAGCTTCGATCAACATTTGCACTGTACGCAGATTATTTGTTTGCACCGCGACTTGCAAAGGAGACACTCCTGTTTCTGTATCTCCACTGTTCAACTGACTATTTACATCAGCATGGGTAAAGGCATTATAAAGAGCAAAATGAGCTGCCAAATGTGCCAGTGTCCATGTCGGATGTTCCATCAAAGTATCACATAATTTCTGAATCTTATTCACATTACACATCTGTATAAATAAATTACTGATAATCATGGTTTCTACACAGATTGCAAAAAATCATGAAATTTTGGAAATAATTACCTCGCGACAAATTTGAACAAGTACTGGAACCTTATCCTTATACACAATAAAATGTGTTGCGATATCTGCATTATCTTCTGATCTATATAAACTGAAACAATAAATTTTAATTATTTGAAATAATAAATAATATATAAATAACTTTCATACTACATCACTTATAGTAGAAAAAAGAAAGCAACGTATATGAAGATACCTACCTATATGCTTGATGCAATGTTTCTGTACAAGGCCTATGAAGAACAATTTCATATTTTCTTTCATTTTCACCTGGACCATAAAGTACGATACCATCCTCGCGGCATTCAATATGTCGATTACTATAATTTTCAGGCTTGACTTCTTGAACTATGTTCGGCGGTATATCCTGAAATACGATATTCCGGAGAACGTTGCTAGCGATCGTTCCAAGCCAAGTCATGATGGATAATTTAGGTTATCAGTGAAAACTGTCACTACACCTTCTTAACTGACTATCAGTATAATCAAACGAATTAACAAGTTATATAAAATCGCAATGATCATTTCTCCGAAACCGTGATTATGACGTGTCGTCAACGCTGGGAAAAACGTAAAAAAATCCCCCGCAGTAGTCGATCTCACTCTGATCCAATAACGAGCATAAGCATGAAATGGTGTAAACGGCGTCAATGTAAACAAAAATTTTTGAAACACTGCTAACGTATCGCCTATAATACGTAATACCCTAATTGTATGTTACGAATACGAAAATTTGATGCAGATAGTACAATCACGATTACCACAATACTCTGTTAGAGAAAATAGTATAATACTATAATTATCGCAACATATACATACATATTATTTGCTATCTTCTATGCTACATTTTCCTTTCGTTAATGAAGCTATGGTTATTAAGTTTTTAATACAATGTGCTTAGGAAAGTAAATTTTTTTAAGTTTGAAATGAAATAATAAGATAAAATCTGTTCTTTTTTTCAAGTCAGTTCATCAACATCAGGTTGATATTTAACCTTCGCATTTAGATATATCATTGTCACGGCACCATATCATTGGTACATATACGCAATGCCATTGTTTTCAAATAAATTCTCCCCCAAAAAGACCCCTACAAGAAAAGTAGGAGTTTTCTTAGCGAACAAAGATTTCAGTCCGAAACGTATAGAAAAAGAACTGGGACCTAATGTTGGTCCTATACATTTAAAATTAGGAGACCAAGAAACTGTCTTTGAATCTGGTTCGTGGATCCCAGGTAAATTCACAATGAGAAATATTTTTTAGAGGGATCTGTTAATATGATACGGAACTTATATTGTTTCAGAATCTGGTAAAATCGGAAGCACGTACAAAGAAAATGAGAAATTAAAAAAGGAAGTAAAAAGATTGGAAGATGAAAACAACTTATTAAAGCTAAAATTTGAAGTACTTCTTGATATGGTTATTAATGCTTTGTTTCTTATCAAAATACATAATATTTAATACAGCATCTAACATCTTATTTTCATATAAAAATTACCATTTGTTTTATTTCATTTTTTACAGTTGACACAAACAACAGCAGAATATTATTCACAGAAGGAAGAACTAGATAGACTAAAACAGAAATTACCATACAAGAACAGAGATTCTTGATATAAAGAGCACATTATCATAATTCATCCTTTCTTTTACATATCGAATTAAACAAATGTGTTCATATAGCTATATGATGTATCTTGTATGATGTATTCAAAATCTTGTACTTAATTTATTATTAATTTATACATTTGTACATATATAGTATATATTCATATATATTCAACTATAATCTTGTACTTAATCACTCTACTCTTAATTTATATATATACATGTATATTTATGTTATTATATTCTAAAGCACATTGTATATTTTAGAAAGTGATCGTATGGAATACAAAAATACAATTACATTTCTGTCATTATACTGAGTTTTTGTATTTGTGCTGACACCATATACTCTTCTCTTTTAATCCATTGCATTCTCGGGACAAGTCCTTCTTGTATGTCCTAGGAATAAAATCATATACCATAACGTAAATAATACATTCCACATCAGAACATTATATACAATAGAACACAAACCTTCTGTACCGCAGATTCCACACTTTCTTTTACCAGTAGCAATGTGACGTCTTTTTGATAAATTTTTCTCTTCTCTAAATGTTCCTTTATTTTGTCCTCCAGACCCATTATATGTATTTCCACCGTTTTCATCCGCCCATTGAAAGAATTTGCAACATTCGTTTATTCTCTTAGGGCATGAGTAAAAAGGACGTCCCTTATTTGGACCATCTTTCTGTACAATCCGCCTACAATCCATATACAAATAATGATTTTTTCTAGATATTAAAAATGTCAAAAGAGTTTAGTTGCATATTTGCTTACTGTATTGCGTTTTGATTACAATGGCATTTAATGTCATTGTGTGATAACGTAAGATCATCTTGATAACTATTAACATGAACACTTGATCTAGTGCTTGTACTGGCAACGAACATCTGGTTTGAACTACTATTTGTATTATTTTGCATTTGCTGAGTATTGTCTTCTGATGCCCAAAGAAAAAAGTTACAACTATTTTGACGCTTCGCACATTTGTAAAATATCCTTCCTAAAATGTCGTGAAACAACGTTATAATAAGTCATATTTAATGAAAAATGCTTTATAAGTGTCTAAGGCGCTTGTACCATGATTTGGTCCTTCTTTCTTTACTGTTAATCGAATCGCGTTTTCATGGCAATTACACATAATAATAGCATCGTCATCGATGTTACCCCATGTTTTTTGTTCATTTCTAATTAACCTTTGATCATTATTTGAAGAATTAACATTATTAGCATCGATCCATGTATTATTCTTTGAAACATTTTGTCTTTTAACATTTCTTGATCTGCTTGTATAACGATCATCGTTCTCATTTCGCATGGACCCTATAGATGCGTTGCTTTCAGATAAACTCCTGTTTTCAGCGTTTGAAGATGGATGAGTTACAGTGTTCCCTATTGAAGATGAATTTGAGACAATAGTCCTGTTAAATGTACTGTGGTAACCAGACTCTTGACTTTTAATACATTCGTTCTTTATATTTAATGCTTCGTTAAACATAGGATCACAACCACCTATGCAAGTTGTATAATCAGTACCATAAACGTGAATGGGGAAAACGTTTCTCAATAGTTTAAATTTTAATTTACGAATATTTCCTATACACTAAAAATAATAATTTTAATTATATAGATATCATAATATATCATATAATAATTATAAATATTGTGTAACATATAATGTTTACTTCTGAACAAACTTCATCCAAAACTTCGACATGTTTAATATTCTGAGGTAACCAAATTACATTATTACATGTTGGAAACGACATGCAACCAATGTACTTTCCCGTGCCTTGCTTTCTATCTTTAAGGATCATATCCGAGTTGCATTTCGGACACTTAAAGATAACTTTTTGAGGTGGATGACTAATTTCTACCTGTGTATTACTCGGTTGTTCATCGAGGTAATCGGCTAAAGCAATATCGATTAAATTAGCATGTTCTACCGTTAGTTTAAATAGATCACGATATTTCTTTAGTTGAATTTCCAAAACATCATTCGGACTTTTTTGTTCATCACATATCCTAGACGCAAATGTAAACAATTAAAATTCAATTGAAATATTCAGATGTTCTTTCTGTTGTTAAGAAGAAAATAAAAGATCGACGTACAATTTAAGATCCTTTTCGAGTTCAGCTCTTAAGTTTGGTTTTGACATTTCAAATCCCATGTTATCATAACCCATTACCAATCCAATCCCAAGTTTTCCAGGTATCAGATACTTTTCATCTATCAAACCCACGTAATGACGCGATTTTATTGTATCTATATGCTCTGCATGAGTAGCATCGGTACCAATACTGTACTTATCCATTAAACTGATCAAATCAGCTTCAGTCAACAATTGTGGGGGACTTGTTTTTTCCTCTACCATATCTATGCTGGTTGGTTGGAAAACTTGTCCTTCTTGATATATATGAATTTCTTTGTCATTCCATTTTTCATATATGTACACATTTAAATAATTCTTTTCAATAATTTGTAGACCATTAGCAGCAAATTTTTCACCAGCTATATCGATCTCTACTGTTGTTTCTTGGCCTACCGCATCACACGATAAACAAGCCAAAAAGTGTCGAACCACAAATTCATAAACTTTGGCTTCATTGCCTGTCATTAAATAATTTATCATAAATTAACGGCAGAATATTTTTCGTTAACAAGTATTTATTAAGTGTTAAATTTGTGTGCATACCATTTAAACCATCAGCATATTTTATTGGATGTATTGGAGGATGTGCTTGATCGCTTTTCTTGCCTTGTCTAGGAGTCAATCCTTTTTCTAATAATTGTTGTGCAAAATTGCCCCATGCTGAATTGCTTACTTGTTGATTCACCAATGGAACTAAATTTAATTCTTTTGGAAATATATTTGTTTCTGTACGTGGGTAACTAATCAAACCTTGAGTATATAATTTTTCCGCAATTCTCATAGTGTCCTTCGCGCTTAAATGAAGTTTACGAGAGCCTTGCTTTTCCAGCTCCTAGATATATTTAACGTAATTAAATAAATTGCATTGTATCTTTTCTTACTGAAACTACTACTTTATTACTTACAATTGTGTCCAGTGGTAGTGGTCTCCACTTATTCTTAGGTTTACTTAATACTTTTTTAACAGTAGCCATAGGCTGTTCCAAACATATATCCAAAAATACTTCACAAGGCAATTTTTCAAATAGTGTTCCTCTTGCCCATCTAAATTCCACAGAAATATTATCACGGATATCCATTACTTTTATCTTCCAGTATGGTTCTGACTTAAATCGTTTTATGGCTAAAAATCTTTCAACTACAAATCCTAATGTAGGAAACTGACAGCTACCATAACTAATCAGCATATCAGCCAGAGTCCTGGGAAATACTTGTTTCAGTCTCAGTGTTTGAAATCTTGTAAATGCAGCACCTGCAATGTTGTTCCTCTTATATTTAAGTTCATAGGTATATGATGTTATTATGGATATTTTTTAAATACCTATTCTTAGATCCAATTCACTTCGTACATCAACAGCATCACTAATTGCTTTATTTGGCTCACATAAATTTTGAAGAGCTCTATTTACAGATGCTTGTGTAATCTCAGAAAATTTTGCTCTATTAAATAACATATATATTATTACATGAAAGAAGATACAATTTCATGGATAACATATTTGATAAATACCTATATATATGAATATTAGGCTTAATTGCACGACAGACTTGAATAATTTCAAAACCTATATTCTCTCCTTCACGATCACAATCAGTCCAAATAATTAATGCACCACATCTCTGTACTTCCCTTTCCAAAGTTTTTTTAATCTTAACAGAATTCTCTTCCGAACATTGCTTTATTACAGGTGCATCAAATAAACTTAATGGATGACAACCTTGCCATTTACGATATGCCCCAACAAACTCATAATTTAATAAATGACCAGATACAGAAGTCATGATCATTTCGCAATTTTGATTCCATAAATATGAGTTAAATTCATAAATTTTATTATATGTCGATAATCCTTCTCTCTAAAAATAATATAAAGCAAAAATATTATTCGTGTAAAAATTTTGTACATTTGTCATATATTTCAATTAAAGTAACTTTTCAAATACCCGTTTAGAAGAGCCACGAGACAAATAGCCCGCGATACTTTTTGCGGCATCGTTCTTTTCCGCAACGTTGAGAACTTTCATAACCGTAAAAGAGCTTTTAAATCTTATAAAAAACTGATAATATTGTTTTGATTTATATAAACTTAACTGTGCAGTATTAAATACCTTTGTAACAAACAACATCACGTAATATGTACAGTAGGTTTTTATTCCAATGGGGTTATAAATTATTGTATTTAATAACTTTACAAAATATCATCGTATTAAAATAAAAAATGTAGCTGTCATCTTATTTACCTATTTTTTAATAAAAATCGGCAAGTACAATAACTCATATATTTTTACATTCTTTCTTATTACATTAAATACAACACACAACAAAATTAACTTTCAATTGCCGCCCTTAACATTGACTACTTCAGCTAGTTAAGCAATGTATGAAACTTCTTCACTAAATAATTCCTATTGAAAGAAAATTGCGTACAACTCAATAGGTATCAGTCAAATTGAATGTCGTAATTTAATGAAATCTTTACGTATTGGGATGTGTAATTTGTAACAGATTAAAAATGATAGAATACACATCGTTTAGGAAGAACAGTGACATTTTTATTGCAAACGTTGCAAGTATGCCGATGCAAGAAGAAAAGAACTGGAAGTAGCAGTAGACATTTTCAATATTTTGCACAGTAATTTTGGATTTTGTGCATCTTTATCTGAGCATGAGTAAGTAAACGATGTTATTATGTAAGTAATATTATTCAGTTTATGAAATTAGATTAAATTTTTTAAAGTAAAACTTTTTATATATTCAATATTAAATATTCCCAATGACACATTCCACACTTTCGATGTAGTCTTTTATTTTTGCTCTGTCATTTTACCATTTATTGTTCTTTCTTAATGTTTCATATTTAATAATTCTACAACTTTTAACTCCTCTTGGTTGTATTTTAATAATTTAAATACATTTATGCATACGACCTTGTAACCATTATTATTACGTTATATAGGAAATAGATATATATTCTGCATTTTTACTATACAATTTTTTGAACATTTTCCTTTCAGAAAATTGATCGTTGCTTTAGTCAGTTATTTTAAACAAAACCAAACATGACGGAGGACATGTCAGGAGCAGACATCTGCAGAGTTTGTAGATCTGAAGGTCTTGCAGATAGACCTCTCTTTCATCCCTGTATCTGTACAGGCAGTATTAAATGGATACATCAGGAATGTTTAGTACAATGGATGCGATATTCGCGTAAAGAATATTGTGAGCTTTGCGGATATCGCTTTTCTTTTACACCGATTTATAGTCCAGATATGCCACGTCGTTTACCGTTAAGAGATGTTATTGGGGGATTATTTTCCAACATTGTAACAGCAGTAAAATATTGGTTACATTATACCTTGGTTGCAATAGCATGGTTAGGAGTTGTTCCACTGACAGCTTGCCGAACTTACAGGGCATTATTCAGTGGTCCTCTAGACCTGGTTCGAGTAAATACTTTCTTATAACTTTAAAATATATCTAAATTTTTAATACTTTGTGTCAAAAAATGAAGTACCCATATCTTTTGTTCACAGATACTGACATTACCAATGGATATGTTATCTCCTGAAAATATATCATCAGATGTATTTCATGGATGCTTTGTGGTAACTTGTACTCTGTTTGCATTTATCGGTTTAGTATGGCTAAGAGAACAAATTTTACATGCTGGTGGTCCTGATTGGCTTGATCGAGATAATGTACAATTGCCCCCAGTCGACAATCCACCACCTAACTTAGAGATTCCCATGCAACAGTTTCAAGAGCAAAGAGCTCTTCAACAAGAAATTCAAGATAATAATAATGTACCACCCTTTGCTGATGAACCACCAATTTTACCAGAAAATTCAGACAATGATAATGTAGAAAATGTGGAAGGACATAGGGTAGAAGAAAATAATTTACCAAATAATCAAAGAATCAATGAAGTTGAAGGAATTGGTAGAGACGTTGAGCCACACGCTGCTCCCAGAAGCGCTGATCAACAAATAGAACAACCTGTCGAACCGCATGTAGTAGTACCTCGAAATGTAGAACCACTGGTTCCACCAAGGGATGCAGAACAGCCTGCAGCACCTAGAGACGAATTGGGTATAGATGGTGAACAAGCAAACGCGAGAGTTGGGGAGGGGTGGAGGGATCAAGCCCAGGGTCAGGCTCAAGGAGAAGATGAGGAAGCAAACTGGAATCCATTAGAGTGGGATAGGCCCGCGGAGGAGTTAACTTGGGAGCGCCTTTTAGGCTTAGATGGATCCCTTGTTTTTCTTGGACACGTATTTTGGGTCGTTTCATTAAATACGCTATTTATTATGGTACGCTTTGCTTATATGTTTTAAATTGTAAATATAAGACGAAATAATCAATTTTTGTCATACAAAATGCGATGTTCTTATTTTCAGGTTTTCGCTTTTTATCCGTACTATGTCGGTAGTTTTGCAATAGCACTGCTAGATCTACAAGAATATGCAGCTGCTTCACACTTTGAAGGATTAGTAACTACATTATGTGGTTATTGTGTTACTGGAGTAGGGCTAGTGGTCCTTCATACATTAGCAGCACCTTTAGGTTTCCAACGTTCTCAACGATTATTGGGCTTATGTTACGTTATAGTAAAGGTTTCTTTACTTTCGGTCGTTGAGATAGGAGTACTTCCTCTAGTTTGTGGTTGGTGGTTAGACATTTGTTCATTAGCAATGTTCGACGCCACACTTCGAGACAGGGAATCTTCGTTTAAACTAGCCCCTGGTACTTCAATGTTCTTACATTGGTTGGTGGGAATGATTTATATATACTACTTTGCTTCGTTCATTCTGTTATTACGAGAAGTCTTACGGCCAGGAGTACTTTGGTTCTTAAGAAATTTAAATGATCCCGACTTTTCTCCTATACAAGAAATGATACATCTTCCAATTTTAAGACATGTTAGAAGGCTCGTAGCATCTGCAGTGATATTTGGAACTGCTATTTTATTAATGCTATGGTTACCTGTGAAACTCTTAAGATGGGCATGGCCAGGATTTTTGCCATATACCGTGACTATTCAGAGCGAAGCTCAGGTAAGAAGTTAATTATTAGTTAAAAGAGAAAATTAAAAATTCCTCTTACTAACAATTGTGATGTATTACTTTATTTGTTTCTTTATTTTTAAATTAGATCAGCGAATTGTCTTTAGAACTGCTATTACTGCAAGTTATTCTTCCTGCATTATTGGAGCAATCTCATACACGTACATGGTTAAAAGCCCTAATAAGAGGGTGGTGTCGAGTGGTAGCCTGGATGTTAGATCTCCAATCGTATCTTTTAAGAGAACAAACTGAAGATCCAGGGCCGGCCGTAATTGAGGAACCGCAACATCCTGATTTAGGAGCGGCGCATCAAGCGCTGTTACAAAGAGGAGGACCAACAGGTTTCCAACCGTATATCAGACCACGCTGGTTTCCTGCTCGTCTAATTGGCCTTCTGTTTTGTGTTTGCGTTTCTCTTGTTATCGCTAGTTTAATTGCAATGATTCTTCCTGTTTGGCTTGGACGCAGAGTTATGGCATTGTGGATGGTCGGAGCTCCGGCTCCATCTCCACCAGTATTACCACCTGCCTTAAGTGGGTCTGGTAAGTTCGCTTTTTAAAGTATGAAATGCTTATCCATCTTTCCTGTCGACATACTTGGATATCTACTTCCTCCCAAATTATCCTTCTGATTATAGCGTTGTTTTTAATATTTCAGATACCAACGAAGCCGCAGTTGCTTTATCTGGACGAGTACATGAATTATACACCATAGCTTGTGGAATGTACGTATGTTGGGCAGCAGCAAGAGGATTAGCCTTAGCATTTTCTTGGTTGCCTCGTGGTCGAAGAGCTCTTTTAGATAGAATAAAACATTGGGCGATCATAGGTGTTAAAGCGTCAGTAGCATTTTTCTTACTTATTGGCCTAATACCGCTTTTGTTTGGTCTTCTTCTTGAACTAGTCGTTGTTGTACCATTGCGTGTACCGCTAGAACAAAATCCTATTTTGTTTATCTGGCAAGATTGGGCCCTAGGTGTATTGTACACAAAAATAGCGACCGCTATAATTATGATGGGACCGGATTGGAGAATTCGTCTTGCAATTGAACGAGCATACAACGATGGTATTAGGGAAATAGATTTGAAATTCATCGTTACAGAATTAGCAGCACCGGTAATATGTTGTTTCGGTCTTGCTTTAGCTGTTCCCTATGCTGTAGCTTACGGAATAGTCCCACTTTTAATCACGAATCTACAAACACAAATTCTAATTGCTAGACATTTATATCCTTTCCTGTTATTAGTACACTTAATATGTATTGTTATTTACTTTCAAATTCGACAGTTCAAAAAGCTTTATGAACATATAAAAAATGATAAATATCTTGTTGGTCAGAGACTTGTAAATTATGAACATCAAAATAAGTCTCAATCGTAAAAACAGTAACAATCACATGCATTAACCTAATATATCTAGTATAAGTTTTCCTCGACGGCAACAAGAATTTAATAGAAGATTCTTTAATGTACATTCTCTATCACACTTGATCTAAAAAATGCAGATACTAACTTATATTAATTATACTTTAATTCTTAGTATTATAATTTATTAGCGTAAGCGATACGAAATAAATTAAAAAGACTGTTATTCAATGTGTCGCTTTCTTGTTTTGATGCGGATACTTACATTCTATTACACATTGTCGATACTTTTGATCTGAATTACAAAAATATATTGTTCAAAAACGGTAATGAATATTTTGCACGGTTAACGACTATATGTCATTTTGTAGAGCCCAAGATTCCCGTTATCCTTTTATTACTGATCAAACCAACAACTTTTGAAATATACCATAAACTGTAATTTTTGACTTTAAAATATTCAATGTACAAAGCTCTATAACTCTTCAATAAATTCTAAGAAAATAAGTTTCAAAGTACATACTGCTATGAAAGTAAAGTTACATTTTAATTGAGAACTCGTTAGTGACAAAATAACACGATCATGCTCTATTGTAAAAAACTGATGTTTAAAACGATTAATTTGAATGAAAGTAAGAAATATTTATACTTTCTTAAAATAAAGAAAATCATATTTCCTGAGAAACTTGTCATTTTTCTTTCTTTTAGTTAATCATGCAAAAGTTATCATTTAATTGTGTAAATATAATTACATAAAAAAATAACAGAATACTAACAGATCTGAATTACTTCCACAATTATGTTTCTTTTCGTATGCAAATAAAATATATGCTTTGCACACGGTATACATGACTTTATGTACAGATATGAAGCTAAATATAAATAAGGGCTATTTATTTGTATATGTAATAGTCGTTCAGCGATTAATGTAACTATACGATTACAAGTATGTAAAAATGTTACCACAATGTACATTAATATGTAATTGAAATAAATAATGTTCTTGCGAAACGTCCGATATATTTTTTCTATCAATTCGTTAAAAATACATCTATCAGATGAAGAAATTTTTATCATTAAATTAACATTTCACGTTCATATTAAAAATGTATAACATATAAATGTACAATAAAATAATGTACATATATATAAATATATAATATATATAAATATTTTTATAATGGTCGTCTTTAAATTTAATTTACAGCAAAATACCATTATATTTCTATTCCCTGAGTCGGTGGTAAAAGAGTGCCAATTAATTGAAAAGATTCTGGATGCTTTTCGACTCTCAAATGCAATAAAGTAAAAACATTTATTACCTGAAAAACGTCAGGTAAATTATATTGTTCATACTGTCGTATAAGCTGTTGTTATACTTAGATAATATACACAACATTAATACACTTCTTTATATTACCTGAGTAATAGCAGGTTGTTTCCAAGAGATGTTTATCGTTGGAATGGAACATTCCGAAGAATATTCGACGAGTGCCAAATTTTCTAAGTGCGTGAAGGAAACCCTTAATTTTATACCAAATTGACACAATATAATAGTTATCAAACTTTCGTGTACACTGAACACGATACCCATTGTAACAATAGGACCCTTTAAATCTATCAAATACGTAAAGTACAATTCGTTACTTCGCTCTTGTGCCATTTTCGCATTATATTTCTTTATATTACAATTTGCCGCTATTCTGTCTTGGTAGAAACCATATAAAAATATTAAAAATATTTCATTTGTACATGTTACTTATGCTAATTAATTATTCCAGTCTTTTCCTAACTAACTTACGATTTGCAAAGACTTTCAGTCCATTCTTTAGGCATGTCTATATTTCTTAAAGTTGAATAAAGTAAACGATGTACAACACAATCGGAATATCGTCTAATTGGGGACGTAAAATGCGTATAAACCGATATGTTTAAAGCATAATGTCTCAATTCCTCCTCTGCTTTCACTGTAGACGAACATATGTAGGTAGCTCGCTAAGAATGTAGAGAGTGATTTCAATTTTTATACATGTATTAAGAAGTTCTTCAAAACTAAAAAAAAAATCATACAGTCATAGCTCTGGAACAAAGATTGTTGACAACCATCATCCTATATTTCATTATTATTCTTCTTTCATCGTCTTCAGTTTCTAATGCTTCTTCACAACGTTTCATACTAGCGTGCAAAGATGTAGACGATTTAATGTCTAAATGAATGCCAAATTTTTGCAGCATTTCTTGCGTCGTACTTAAAATACGTTTTGAGGGCTCTCTATGGTTGCGTAATAGAGCAGTCTCCGGAATTACATTGTATAAGTGTGTAGCAACTGTCATATTAGCTAACAACATAAACTCTTCTATAAGTCTAAAATATAATGTATATGTATATACATATAAAAATACATATATGTATATGTATATACGTATATGCACATTTATATCATAATTTATGAATAGTACAACTTTAAAAATACTAAAAATACCTGTTACTATCTTGCTGTTCTTCTATATTGTACGATATTGGTAAACCCGTAATTCTATCAACCTTGACACATAATTTTGGTTGATCTATTCGTAGCGCACCATTTTGAAATCTTCTCTTACGCATTTGAATAGCTAAATTGTGTAAAATGTTTACTTTTATTGACAAATCATTAAGCTTGTAATTTCCATCTATATTTATAGAGTTATCTGGCCAATTATATTCTGGATTTTCAATCATTTTCTGAACATGCTGGTAAGACATTTGACAGCATGATCTTATTACAGTTTTAGCAAAACGATAATTAACAACTCTTGCATCTTGCGTCATTTCCCAAATAACAGAAAAAGCCAATTTATCTTGACCAGGTGACAAAGAACATACTTGACATAATTCTTTTGGTAACATGTGATATATGTTATCTGCCATATATATAGTTGTAGCTCGTTTTGAAACCTGAATATCCAATGGAGATAAGAATTCTACATAATGAGTAACATCTGATATATGCACACCAATCTAGAAAAAGAAGAATATATATATATATACACATATACATATAAACAAATAGACAAACAAATGAAGTATACTCTCTGGAGATAACTCTACAGAACAGTGTAATTACTTCATAATTTCCATTTTCCAAAGGTTTGCAAGAGACTGAGTCATCTAAGTCAACAGCAGTATCAGGATCGATAGTAAATATGCATTCATCTTTCCAGTCCTCTCTGTCTTTAATATCATTTTCTGTTAAAGAATAATCACTACTTGGAAGTTCCTTCGTTACATCTAGGCTATAAGGTGTAACATCTAAATCATATTCAAGTAATATTGCATTTGATTCTGCTTTTATATCGCCAATACTTCCAATTATTTTTTCAATTTGCCTGTATACCATGTAAGTGAGTATATTATTTCAACAATCATTGAAGCTTCTACTTGTTTAGATTTATAAATTTTTATCATACCCAACTGCAAACTTTGGCTTTCTCCAGTCAGTTATAACAACCAAATATAATATGTCTTTATAATTTTGACACACGCCAAACTGTTGCAAGGATTTCTTACTTATCTTAACTAATGGTACACGACGATCTCTGGGATAAAAAAGTTTACCATTTTCTTTGAAGTATCCAATTGTTCTTCTTGGATGTATTTTCTCTCGTATATAAACAACAACACCTGTTTTTTGATTGTATCCTTGATGCATTTTCCATTTTTCTGGCTGATTTATACGTGCTACAACAAAATCACCATCAAAAGCTCGATTTCTATCCCTTAAGCCAATGATTAATAGATCGCATTGATCATCAGAGAAAGATAAATAAGCATATTCACGATTCCAGCGATTGACACGTAACTGCCCTTCTATGTATTGTGTTTCATTGGAATTTTCATTTCTTAAAAGTTTGTCAATTTCTGTTTCAGGAATATGTTGTGGAAATGTATCTTTTTCTTTTGGGACTTTAGCTCTCCGAGCTTTGATTTCTTCTTTACTTTCCCCTTCCTTTCCCTTTTCATCATCAATAAGCACTGGTTGTTCATTAAAAGTTTCCCTCTTAGATATCTGTCTATTTTTGTTTTTATTAGCCTTGTGATAAAATTTTTTAACTTTTCTAGGCTGATTTTGTGTAACAAGATCTGAAGAAACTGATCTTTCTGACATGATTCCTACTTTGAAAGTACTATTCACTTATACATATGCGAAAATTAATTACTGTCAATTTATCATACATAATTATTAATTTTTAACGTCACAAGTATTAAAAATATTATATTTCGATGGACTACGAATACATATGTTCATAAAGCACTTACGTATGAAAAGAACTATCAAATTTTGGTTGTATTTTAAAAATGTTAACAGGTCATATGTTTCTAAAAATAAGATTCCAACGATAAGAAAGCTGCATTATTTTTTTTAGATATTTAATATCTCTTATAACAACGGGCTATAAACTTAATAAAAATATAAATCCCGACTTAGAGTCAAAACAATAGTATCATCGTTCACTTGATGTTGAGTATTTGTCAGATTCGGTAGCATCTTAAAACGATACATATCTCGCATTTATACTGTTTGTGATTTAATTCTTCGGTTCTTTCCGCTTTTATTCATTTTTATTAATAACAAACTTATTCTATCATTATTTCCCCACGTTTTATCGCTGTATTCTTGAAACTTTGAAATAAAGTATGTTTTACAAAATCCGGATTATCACTCATACAACGGACAACTATTAACAGCTATCTTAAATTAAAAAAATTTAACGTTCAATCGGTTATTCAAAAATATGGCAATAATACCACAGAACCACATAGGGAGATTTATTTGTAAATGTTGGCAGAATTTTGTTCGTATCGAGTGAAATCATACAGAGAATCTCGGAGTTGGTAAGTGTTCGAAGCGATTGGACCAGTTGGCGTTGGCACGTAGGGTGGTGAGTGGTGAGATAGGTAGAGTGTTGCGAACGTGGTGGAAAGGTAAAATTGTTTCGATCGGTAGGAAAGGAACGCGATTACTGAGGTAGTCGGGTGAGAGACCGAGTTCTGTAAAGATCAAAAGTGAGGTAGAAGAAACGTGGAAGGGATAGAGAGAAAAAGAAAGGAACAAGAAAAGTTAGGACATACATTGTGTGAAAAGCGTTGTAAAAATCGATTTAATTACAACGGTAACGAAAAACATTGAAAATGTTTCACATAAGGAAACTAACAAGATCGTCGATTGCTTTGAAACAAGTACCGAGTAATGATGTTATTCATAACACGCTCATACGTATCGTACCGGCGTTCCAAGCACGCGGTTATGCCGATCATCAGATACCCGATCGTCTAAAGGATATCCCCGACGATCTGAATCCAAAGTTTTTCGATATGGTCGAATACTTTTTTCATCGAGCTTGTCAGATCGTCGAAGACAAATTGGTCGAAGATATCGGTAAACGTTCCAGGATGAGCGTGGAAGAGAGAAAAAAGAAAGTGAAGGGTATCTTGATGCTAATGGAACAATGTGACCACATCCTCGAAACCTCCTTCCCATTGAGACGCGACTCGGGCGACTACGAAATGATTACTGGCTATCGCGCGCAACATTCAACTCATAGAACACCCTGCAAAGGAGGTAAATCGAGAGACGCTTTATTTTACATTTCGTTTACCATGCTTTCGATAACATTTATTTTTCATTGATATTTAACAACTGCGATCTTGATTACACCAGTTGTTGCTTACAGTTATTTCTTTTATTATTAAAAACATTTGAACAAATACAGAATTGTCACTCCCATTTACACTCCCATACGTATGGGGGAAACGTAAACGAAGGAGAGAAGGACAAAGAAAGAAAGCCTGATGGCTCATAGAATATGTAATTTTTCTCTCATGGCCGCTTAAATTTGATGTTAGCATTAATTACGTCATCAATAACGATACGTAACAGGCACGAGCAGTCTTAAACTGGATCAAATTCGTTAAAATTTCATTCTGTCGAATTTTTCGAATCTAAATCCAACGTATATTTAAATTCAAAATTTCAAACAAAACGTTTGTTAACGTTTGTATATCTTTTGTTCGTGTCATAATTTTAGTTGAGTTTTGTGCTAGTTTCTAGTTACTTTTATGTATTCAATGTACAGTATACGACGAGACATTGGAAACGACAATTTTACGGCTTCAGGAGTTAAATGACATGGTTTTAACCTCGATTTTAGTAGACAGATTATTGAAACCACGTTCGCTATATAATACATAGCATTAGCTTATTCGAAGAGAAACTCGTGTCATTCTGTTTTTATGTAACGAACAATTTATTTTATAAATGGAGTGGAAAATATATTTGTACATAGCCCTCATCGGAGAAATTGTAGTTTTGTGACGCACAAATAGATGATGAGGAACGATAATGTGCCAACGCTTTTCGTTCTCATAGCTTTTGCACTTCTTACTCACGAGGATTGTATTACATCAATGATTAAACGCGTTGATGCGTCGATTTACATATTAGTAATGCGATGCCTAGGATATGGCAATTAAAATCTCTTGTTAGTATATGCGCTTACATATCGGATATACAGGGTGATTCAATAATCGTGGTACAGACGGTAAAGGGATGATTCTACGTGAAAAATAAGACAAAAACAAAAGAAGAAAAGGAAGAAAGAATATTCTCATACAGCGCTCTGTTTTCGATAAGGTCAAATTTGAAAATTTATTTATGGGAATTTGGCTAATCGTCGAATCGTTAAAATTTTAATCGTTAAAACGAGTAAAATCAGTAGGAAGTTGTTCCGGAAGAGAATAACTTTGTATCAGAATAGTTTTCTTGACGACTGTATTTATCATCATTACTGACTCACCCTACAGAATTAATTAGATTTCTCGAACAGTTGTTTATCCGATTTGGTGAGAAAGATATTCGAATCACGCATATCGAAACATCTCCTTGATATAAATTTGTACTTGAGCTCGTGAGCGAAACGTAACAGCGTCTCATGAGGTAGATCTTTTTTGAGAGCCAAGCAAAGTGAACTCGACGATTTTCCGTTGACGAAGATCATCCTTCCCCTATATTCGTCACTGGTGACCTTTTTAAAAATTAAGTCGTCTTTATCAGTTTTATCATCTGCGTGGCATAATTAGGGTCGCAATCCTAATTATTTACATTTCGTTTCTTATTCGCGTTATTATTATAAGAAACAGCGAATGTTTGTCTTCGAACGTAACTCATTGCTATTAGAAAATGCCGATACAACGTAACAATGCCAAGCTGTCTGGTGTTTTTCTTCGTCCCTGCCAAACATTAGCTAACTACCTTGATTCACTATTTGATTTAAGAATTTGGCACTAGCATGCCAGTGTCACGATGATGCTCGAAAGGCCAATGCTCTCGTGGAAACAAATTGATGCAGCTTTTTTTTATTCGCACGAACCTGCTAAAACAGCATACGTACTTATTAATTTTTCTTCGATTTTATATCATTTGCTTGGGTTTTAGGCGATAACATTGTGCTTATAGCACAATTCCAGCTGTTGTTTGAAAAATTCATTAGCGAGGTCGCATACAAATATGCGCATAACGACTGGTAATCGTTGTGTAGGCAGCTATATTCGCGTGTTGCGTAATGTATATGTACTAACCAATACATTAGATTTTGTGTAACATAAATAACATTAAAACAGCCCGCAGCAGTCTCGATATAGAACGTATTTTATGGCATTTTAAAATCGCCTTTATGCGGAGTACACAAAGACTTATGGGTGACTATATGTACACTGTCACTATCGTCAATCATAGCTATCAGGATACGTATTCGTTATATTTATTCAAAAACTCTAATTTTATTTTGTTTAGTACTTTACATTATTATATGATATAAGCATATAAATAAAACGAACGATTGAAAATAAAATAAATAGAAGATAAAGACAGTGGAAAATTATCAATTCATATATATTGAATGTCAGCAGGATCATACTGCGTAATTGTACAGTAACGAAATTTTACTGGTCACAAGTTACAAGTATAAATAAATATCCTTACATAACATTAACAAGTTTCGTAATGAAATTTCGAAGAAATGGAACGTTGCAAAGATATTTTGCAAATTATGAATTAATTGATTGTTCTATTTGATTTTAAAAGTATAAAATTCTAGAAAAGAAATAATTGTTTGTTACAGGTATTCGTTTCTCGATGGATGTCTCGCGGGACGAAGTAAAGGCTTTGTCGGCGTTAATGACTTTCAAGTGTGCCTGTGTAGATGTTCCTTTCGGTGGAGCTAAAGCCGGTATTAAGATTAATCCCAAATTGTATTCGGAACACGAACTCGAAAAAATTACAAGAAGGTTCACGCTGGAGCTCGCGAAGAAAGGATTTATTGGTGAGATACGTCAAAATATCGAAAAATGCCTTTGTTAAAATTTACATCGAAGTTGATTAGAGAACGGACGAACGAATTAAAGAAGCAAAAGATACGCGATTCTGTTGCATACTTGTATGCGCCATTATTAAATTTGTTTCGACCTAATTGTTTATTGGATTCGTTGTGATAAATTTTCTTCGGCATGTCAGCATAAAACGATCACGTTACATAAATGGATTTAAAACCAATACATGTAAAATTATTCTCTAATAACTGCTGATTGCTACGATCAGCTATAGATTAGCTATCGCTCAAAAATACATATATGGATACTTGCGTATTTTTTTCGATAGAATATTCTTTAATTTTTAAAATATTGTGATTTGCAAGTTGCCAAAAGCGTAAACATTGTGGAGCAGTTTTATAATAATATCGAGAATAAATTAGCTAAATTATGTATTTAATTTCGATATATTATTGATCAATTTTTAAATAAACAATTCAAATTTCGTATTACGTGTATCTTATAAAAGATATTATCTTAATATTTAGTAACATTTGTAATTTTTACAATTCCATTTATTTTATTACCAAACCTTTTATATTATATAACGGAATTTATTGGATCTGGCAACTTGTAATTTGTAGCTCTTGTAAAATTTCGTTGATAATATTAGTTCAATTGAATAAGAAGGCCTTGCGAATACCCTATATTAGTTAAAATCGTATAAATATATTCTCGTTTGAATTTAAAGGACCCGGTGTCGATGTTCCTGCTCCCGACATGGGAACTGGAGAACGTGAAATGTCCTGGATTGCAGACACATATGCCAAGACTATAGGTCATGTGGATATCAACGCTCACGCCTGTGTCACAGGCAAACCAATTAATCAGGGTGGAATACATGGACGTATTTCTGCGACAGGGCGTGGATTGTTCCATGGAATAGAAAATTTTATCAACGAAGCTAATTACATGAGCATGATCGGTACGAGGACATTTCCAATGTTATTTCCTTCTGTATTGGATGTCTGTATGTCAACAATCTACAGTTGACACACTGACATTGGGTATTTTTTGCGTATACTAACAGATATATTAAGATATACTAACAGTTAATCAAAACAGTTGAAGCAGATAATTACGAGTGAGATACCTCGTTTCCCGTCGGTTAGTATAAAATGATATATATATATATGTACATATCTCGTTTCTGGACGTTATTGTGCTAACTGTTAATATATTCACCACTTTGAAATACACCTAGCCCATTTCTGGAGTTATCTTTACTTTAATAATGGTTGCTGTAATATACTGTTCATTATCTCTTCCAACTTTTTAAATTATTTTGTTAAAACATAATGTAAAAGATAAAAATGCAATAATCGTGTCAGTAGTATTATTTATGTTATTACCTGGATACAGCATACTCGTCGGTAGCAATAAGTCTCTTAATTCACTGTCTTCTTTTCTCATTGACTAACTTTTTACCATTAGGCACCACACCTGGTTGGGGAGGAAAAACATTCATTATTCAAGGTTTCGGTAACGTCGGTTTACATTCAATGCGTTATTTGCATCGTGCAGGCGCCACTTGCATAGGAGTAATCGAGCACGATGGTTCTATCTATAATTCCGAAGGTATCGATCCTAAGGTGAGCAACTATTTGAAATTTAATATAAATTTTCCCGCGTATGACGTAATAATTTCAACAAGATTATTCTACATTAATAAGATTACTTAACATAATTTATATTACAGCAACTAGAAGATTATCGTATAGAGAATGGTACTATCGTGGGCTTCCCTAATGCTAAACCGTACGAAGGTGAAAATCTTATGTACGAACCTTGTGATATATTTATACCTGCAGCCGTCGAGAAAGTTATTACTAAAGCTAATGCCAGTCTTATTCAGGTAAAGAATTTTCGTAACATTTGTTTTTTAACATTAAGTATATAAATACATATCGTTGTATGTTTTCAAACGTTCTTTAAACAATTGCTGCTTCTATTTTAGGCAAAAATTATAGCCGAAGCTGCCAATGGACCAACTACTCCAGCTGCCGATAAAATTTTAATCGACCGAAATATCTTAGTTATACCAGATTTGTATATCAATGCCGGTGGTGTCACCGTTTCCTTCTTCGAATGGTTAAAGAATTTAAATCACGTGTCTTATGGTCGTCTAACTTTTAAGTATGAAAGGGAATCAAATTATCACTTGTTAGGTATATATGATCACATGCATAGATGATAAAGATTTAATCTAGTTGGATCGCACATATTATTGTAAATTTCTAATTTTCATTAAAAATTTTAGAATCTGTACAAGAATCGTTAGAACGTAGATTCGGTCGTGTGGGTGGTCGAATTCCTGTTACACCCTCCGAAGCGTTTCAAAAACGTATTTCTGGTGCTTCTGAAAAAGATATTGTTCATTCTGGTTTGGACTACACTATGGAAAGATCAGCGAGGGTAATTAACTATTCTTTCTCTTTCGGTAAACAAATGGAAAATGTCTAGACATTGTTTAACTTTATTCTTATCGTATGACAGGCTATTATGAAAACAGCCATGAAGTTCAATCTTGGCTTGGACTTGAGGACAGCAGCTTACGTTAATTCAATCGAGAAGATATTTACCACTTACTCCGAAGCGGGTCTTGCGTTTTAAAGTATATTCTAAAGTATTTACCAATACAAAGGAAATCGCATAAATGGAACTATAAAAAGTTTCGAGCCAGTATTTTCAAGACTTTTTTCAACAATTGCTCCCAACCAGTACTGTCCAGTGTCTCTCAGTGACAAAGACAGAAGCTGTTAGTTGCAGTGGAAACATTTCGTGAATATCGTCGCACGTTAGATTCTCTCCGAACATGTAATAATAATTTGCCTAACGAATGCTCCGTTGTACGGATAAGTATATATAATGCCTGCGTCGATCGCGTCGTTCGCGTCACTGTAACTATTATGCCGTTTATGTATGAGAAAGTGTACGAATCGAATAGTAGCGAATTTGATGTGCGAATACGGTCTGCCAAGTAGTCAATTCTGAACAAAGTACTTGCAACATGTTTTCCTTTGTAAGTCGACTCAACGAAATCAGCAGCCGAAATGAGACATCAGTGTGCATTTTTATACATCACTTTTGATCAGTGTATGATAATATGTAAGATTTGCACGTTAATTGTCAAAGACAAACGAAATGATCGTCTTTAAATCTTAATTCCCTTGAGTACACAACATATTGCAGTGATCTATTTGCGAGAAACAGTTCACCGACGACTCGTGTCTATAATCAACGTAATATGCGCGATGTATCATACGGTAATATTGTTATATATTTCAAAAGTAATGTCAATAAACATATGCTCTTAATTAATACTTTTCTCGTTGTTCTTTAATCCTCTTTCACTATGCGTTAAGATAGAAATACATTACTATCGCGTCGCGTGAGATTGCACACTACTATTTTGCATATGATAGCACATGACACCTTGTGTAGGATTGATATTTAGTGATATATCGTGTTAATAACGAAGTATAAAACCTCAAGCAGTCGTACTTCAGATTAGGAGAAAGATATAGAAAATCTTACAGTATTTCTGATTCGTAGTAAAATGCGTAGATCAACTCGCGGAAACACGAAATAAACGCAGAGATATATATTTACAAGAATATAGCCATTTATAGCAGCCACCAATTATTAGAAATGAAGTCTCGGTGTAAGCTTCAAACGTGTCCTGTTACGTTACATAATTGTCTCATCGCAGTCCGCGTGCTCCCGTGCCGAGTATCGGTATGACCATCGCATTAATTCTTTCTCCTTTCCTCGGCACTTTAACTGATGAATGAGTTCTTAGAATTCACCAATTCGGATAAGCATCTAGATTAGGCCCGGATCGTCGATGCTAAAGTAGACATTACTAAAACATTCTAGTAAGTACCATATGTACTTCAGGATGAATGACTAAAGCTAAATTTTAATTGCTGCATGGTCTAATCGATCATGATATAAAAAGAAAGAGTATAATAAGCATCGCGATTAGATTTTATTATATACAATGTGACGGATTCCCTTGAGAAGGGTTAGATTCATTAGAACATCAATAGAGGAATGTAACGATACTAATACTAGTTGTCTTCGTCGCGCAGGAGCTCTTTATAGGCTTATGTATGTCTATGAGGCTCTTACGTGAAATTCCGTGAAGCGGGACGCGATTGTAATTTGTTCCCAGCGGATTTAAAACAATGAAAATACGTCGAATCACACTGGTCGAGTATCGCGTGAGATCACGTTATAGCACGTGATTTCAGGTAGCGCGATAGTAATCTGTTTCTACCTTTACTCCATCTCTCGTTTTTTATAGTTAGTATCAATAGTAACGTATTAATTATATTAGTTATTTTAACGATAGTGACGTAGTTGACGTATTAATACAGTTACATCCAACTTGTTGAGAACTCTTTTAATCTAACGTTTTACGTTATCGAGCTGATAAGCATACGTGTCTGTCTCATTTGCCATTACGCACTACTGCACCGTTTTTATAAATCATATTTAAATTAAATATATGTTAAAAACAATCTTGTAACGCGTGCTAAATGTAACAATGCCAAAATGAGTTGCGTCTACGACGACGGCCGAATATTTTCGTCGGTATTACGCAACCTCTACAATTTTCGTCCATGTCATCAATGTGATGGTTCGGATCGTATCCCATACTATCAATAGTCCGTTGGCTATTTCATATTCCACATTCTATAGTTGATCGTATCGATAAATCGTAGGAGGATAAACTGATTACGTCGAACTATCTATATATGTATATAGTAGGACATACGAATGCACACGAACACAGTGCTCTTGACTTCGTATTTTTCTTTACTTTTTCAAGTTCTATCCTGAACTTGCTACTAACTTTCACGGCAAAGTGCGAATCGTCTCGATCGTAACGGAAAGAAAAGAATAAAAAGTCTGTAACGCGAGTTGCGCTTTACAGTAAGCCTACTGGCGGATTACATATTTTCCTATACTACTAGTAAGGGCGGCGGCCGCGCATATAGTATAAAGCGTCACGACATCACGACGTTACCTTCATTAGTCTTGTTAGTTCTTTCAACGGCGCGCAACAATTGGCACAAGGTGAATATATGCTCTTCCGCTTGTTTTTATTACTTTTTCCATCCGTACCACAGAATGATCTGTAACGAAACAATTCTGTTAAAACTCATTTTTCTCATTTTCTTCGATCATTACATTAACAGCCATGCTTATTCCGAGTATTTTGGCACGTTGTTAATCCGATATCCAACTTCTGGTACACTATATCAACGCATGTTGGAAAACTCGATAAACATAGTACAGTTGCTTTAAAATTATACCTACGGTCATGGTGATGGTAACAACGATTTTTATTCCTTAATCGCAATTTATTTATGTCTAAACTGCGTGTATTTTGTTGGAACAATCGGTTAATTTTTGCACGATCTGTATCTCGACTTTAGATTTCTATTAAAGACTTCGATATAAACTTAATTGTGCTACATATAATTATATTATACTTCTATAATTATTCTTATTATAATTATAGTAATATCTTTCCCTATATTATATTTCTCGAGTGTACACGCTATACGAATTTTAATTTAGGTGGCGAGATTTGAGTCCCGCGTGAAACCCATTGATATGTCTATACCTATGGCAACTATGAGCAATGGAAATGGATCAACGATACAGATCAATACGCGACCGGATGATATACAGAATCGTATCGTCGGTGGTGAGTCGAAGATTTTTCTTACGTTCAGAAACGAATTTGGTTTAATGTACAAATATTTTCCGGACTACGTGTACGTTATCAAATTCAACGAAATCGAAGCACACGTATATACAACGTGTGCACGTGTTGGATTGTACGACATAAAATATTACTCGAGTCTAAAGAAGGTCAAATTTTCTTTACACTCCGGAAAAACGTACTGAGCTTAGAGACAAGGTCGTCGATCATTTTACACGTATATTCTATCTATGTGTATAATAAACAGTTTTTAGGTACAAAAACAGAATGCCACAACGAACACATTGCCACATTATTAATCGTCTCGTCGATTTTCTTACTCTATAAAGATGTTTCTTATAGCTACGACTATTAATAATAGGTTCCGAGTTGTAAGTAGCAAGTTTCAAGTAGAAACGACTCGTTATTGTCAGACGTAAGATTGAACAGAGACACGAGGAAAAAGAAGGAGAGGAAAACCATGATTTTATCTCAAAAGTTCTTCAATAAAAATCACTGTTTTGTACGTGGACAACGTTTTAACGTTTAGCATTAGCCTTGTACATCGCTGATTCTGATAGATAGGCTATAAACACGTGTAACGAGTAGTTCCTAAGTATAAATCAATAGAAATATCTCAAGAACGAATGCGACCTGCACTGTACACGTAACAAGTAACAAATGGTACATAAATAGAGAACCGGAAGCGTATATCTATACACATGCGTGTACTATATACAGATAGTTAACAAGAATAAAAATGATAAAAGGCAGAGAAGATTAATTTCTTACGTTTCCATGTTTCTATGTATACGAGCAAATTTCTTAATTTCACGCGAAGATGCCCCATAGTATGTTAGAAACAGGGAAATTCGAAAATGGCTTACAGGTTCCAACAATGTGGGAGGAGATTCGCCATTTTGCAAAGAGTATAAACGATTACGACGTAAGAACATTTACTAAATTAACGTAACTCAATTATTATTGTTATGTATGTATATAAACCCAGGATACGTACATATAGACAAACTGTAATAGCATATTAATGAAGCTGTCCATTCGCGTGCTACCGATTGCTGCTACGATATTACAATAATTTGCCAAATGTTTTCTGTCCTCGGTCAAATTGCAAAGAATTATGCGAAAGACATGAGAAATACGAGAAATAGAGAATAAGGAAGGGAAGGAGAAATCGGAGAGCCGAACGATAAGGAAAAAAATAGGGGGGAAGACAAGTATTGAAAACAGAAAAGGTAGGGCTGTGCGCATTTCGCGCATGTCGGTATGACTAAAGGGAGCAGAGAAACGAGTGAGAGGAAAGGAGCAGCAGTGAACATCTATCCGACAGAGGGAGATAGTAAAAGAGGGAGGAGAACGGGGGAAAAAGTACTGGGAAAAGGAAAGCGAGGACTTCCTGGGTGGGTGGTTGATCGTAGACTGACTAGGCAACTACTCGTAATAAATCGTGTGACGAGTAACACATTGAAGCTCCGTCGTATTTCGTTTTGCTTCGGTCGGCGAAACAACCTATCATCTCCTTCTATTTATTCAGAGTTCAAAGACACTTGGTGAGCGTAAGGAATTTGTGTGATTTTTACGCTCAATTGCCAAATCGAGTTCAATAATCGCATCACTTCGAGATGACAGGCGGTAAGCAGACATTAACAGATTAACAGAGCTATTCGGAATTCTTCGTACGATTTTTAAACCGTTAAAAGCTATCGATACATTTTATATCGGCGGTGAATCAAATTATTATGAGTGAAATTTTATAAGCTACAAGTTACAAATTACTAGCATTAGTAAATAATACGAACAAGTTTGATAATAAAGCAAATGAAATGTTGCAAGTAAATTGTACGAATTACAAATTATACGATTGTCCTATTTTCGATAGAAAATTATAAATTAATAAAAGATCAGTCTGCAAACTATAAATTATAACTTGTCAATTTACTAATATACATTATTTAGTTTGCAAACTATTGCACGAGAAAGTTCTCGTTTATTCTTATATCGCTGTTTCAAACAATGCATGGTAATCGTGAACTGTGTATGTATTCTCAATTCCCATACTACGTAGCTCCGTTTCGATCTATCTCATTTGTACGGAGGCGTAATTTTCTGAATGTAGGTTGTACACACAACATCGAAATATCGATCTGCGCGTGAATATACCGGGGACATTAGTAAAATCGATGACATTACTGAATACTCCTAAAAATACATTTACACGTTTCTTTCGTTCCTGTTCGACGACGATGAATGAACGAAGAAATCGACTATTTCGATCGATAGCTCTTGGAAAAATATACAAACGAGCCAAGCAGTCATCGAACATCTTACATCCTATATGGATACTTATTTGGATAGATTTTTGTAATGATATAACCGCGCGATTTTCAAATGCTGTGTCGTAAGAATTTTTAAAACATGCAGTACCTGGTTATCGTTAATCAGGGGCATTCACCTCTTTTCTCGTAGATCGTTAAATAAAAACAAATTTGAAATGCGATACGTATTTCCCATGAGATGGAAAAGGCTGAAAATCGCTGGTGTAGTCGATACATTTATCCCTAAATAGTATAATTCGAAGAAGGGCTTAGGCAAGTTATCAAACAGTAGTATCATCAAAAACTGACTCAGCTGTCCTAAAAACATGTGTACGGTTTTAGCTGTGGCTAAATCAAGTGATGATCCTATTCAACATTTTGCTTTATGACCTAATTATATCACTTCCACGAAGCAATATAAATAGGCTACTTTTGACAAAGTACTATATTTCACTATGTTTCAGCGGACGAGGAAACGCAAGTAAACACTGATACCTGCAAAAATATTCTTGTCGTATTATCTTGGATCATCGTGATTCTTACTATGCCATTTTCCCTCTTCATTTGCTTCAAGGTAAGACAACATGAGGATAGTACTTTCTCGGATTGTTCTGTTTCTCCTTCGACCAAAAATATCTCGACTATCTTCTTAGCTGCAAACGTTATACGGTCTTCATTCATTGTAGCTGTAACCTCGTTTTCCCGGTTATCTTATAATTAGATGTACGATCATACTCGCATTCATCCCCCTCTATCTTTTTCCGCTTGTTCGTGCACTCTCTGCAACATGTCCGTAACATAGCTCAATGAGTATAGTACATAATTAATAAACAAGCTTATTATGTAAATTTTTAATTAAGTCGCAAAACGAGAAAAAAAGGAAAAAGGAATCACCAAAATTTTTTAGGTGGTGCAAGAATACGAGAGAGCCGTGATATTTCGTCTAGGACGACTTCTGGCTGGTGGTGCTAAAGGACCCGGTAAAGATACAATTAGGCAACGTCTATTAAATATTCATTAGTGTCGCGATTAGCTCGAATGATAAAAGTTCCACTGTATTGGAATTTCTATATTCAGTTTCAAGAGAGAATCGTTATGTGACTATGTACTATTTCTAGGAATCTTTTTCATTCTGCCTTGTGTGGATAATTACGCACGTGTCGACCTACGTACACGAACGTACGATGTACCACCTCAAGAAGTAAGTCGCTGATCTTACGATTAGCCAATCTAATCAATCGAAATACTGCATGAGATGTTTATGCTATTTTAAGCATAGATTATACACATGTATGTATATATTCGTCAAATAAGTTTAGAAAGTAATTTAAAAATTACGTTATTTAAAAATATTTCTTAAAACACCGAGTTCTGGCCGAAGCTTGAGCCCATTAACTTGGTGCATTAACTTGGTCAAAGAGGAGAGAAACGATGCTAACAGAACTTGATTGAAATTAGGTGTTGACGAAGGACAGCGTGACGGTATCGGTTGACGCAGTAGTGTACTATCGCGTGAACAATGCGACGATTTCGATCACAAACGTTGAGAACGCTCATCACAGCACTAAACTATTGGCACAAACTACGCTTCGCAACATGATGGGAACCAGGCCGCTTCACGAGATTCTCAGCGAACGCGAAACGATCTCTGGGAACATGCAGGTAAACTGGAATCAATTTGGAATCAAGTGAGAGCACACACAACGCGCGCACGTAAACACATACATGGCTGTTTGAATGTTTGAAATAAAACCGAATGTCAGGTTTCCTTGGACGAAGCTACCGATACGTGGGGAATCAAAGTGGAACGAGTCGAAATGTAAGTTTGCGCCTTCAACGCGATGCAACTGTGTCGTAAATCATATTCATAAGTATTACAAATATTATTTATATGTACACATGCAGGTACGATAAATTTTTTCCACAGAAAAGATGTGCGACTACCAGTGCAATTACAAAGGGCCATGGCTGCGGAAGCTGAAGCTGCTCGCGAAGCCCGTGCCAAGGTTCGTTTTCCTTTCACTTCCCAATAAACTTCGTTATTGATTTTCTTTCCTCCCTTTTCTTCTCTTTTATCAATCGTCGATCCTTCTAAATTATGAGATTCACTTTCACATGAATGCGTAGGTTATCGCAGCAGAGGGTGAACAAAAGGCTAGTCGAGCATTAAGGGAAGCTTCGGAGGTGATCGGTGATTCACCTGCCGCATTGCAACTTCGTTACTTACAAGTACGTATTTATTAACTTATATTTTATCGGCTCGATTTTATTCAATGCTTATATAGATTTCGATAGAATTATTTCGCCTAAATTCAAATGACCCGTCCCAGTCACACCATTTCTCGCCACTCAGTATTTCGAACTCGTTCAAACCTGTAAAGTAAGTGAGAGATATTATGTTTTTCTCCTTGTTCTCGTTTTTTCATAATCTGCAATCCCGATTTATTAAAATTTAAACGAGCACTACTGTATCGACATTCAGAGTGTCTCTGCAGGCAGGTGTGATACAACCGGGTAACGGGTATTTCCTTGCGAAGAAGTAAGTCGAAAATGTAGAATAAAGTCTTTGGGTAAGAGGCTTTATTTTGGAGAAAAACGATTTTGAAAATCTGCTCGATTTGTTGAATCGAGAATGTATTTTAAATATTTTCTTACCCGATTGTATCGCTGTTGCGGAGAGACTCACCCTATATCATTTCTCTTACACGCTATTGATCATTATCGTTACCTTTTTTTATCCTTTCCAGACTTTAAACACTATTTCAGCCGAGAAAAATTCAACGATCGTATTCCCATTGCCTATCGATATGCTAACATATTTCATGAAAGCAGCTGCCGGAAAGGACTCTTAATATCTCGATACAAGCTAACAGTCTATTATCTCATCAGAGTCATCTACAATCTTTTGTGCGTAAGGAATGTGTGTAATATATAATTAACGCTATATAGCATTATGTACTGGAAATCGACATAACAAGGGGCAAGAATACTTAATTTTATTGTTGGTACAATGAAGAAATATTCGATGAAAACGAGGTCAGCTCCGAAAGAAGTTACTCACCATGTATGGATTACACCTAATTGATTCTCTAACCGACCGTGTACTTTTATAGCGTACTTGACTTGATCCTTTTTTCCATCGATTATAGCAAAACGTTTTACATCTCATCACCACATCACCGTATCTGTCGACCAATTTTATAACACGTCATACAAACAGTGGCTACAAAAAATATTGGCACACTATTGTATTTATTATAGCATTTATATACTAATTAATCAAGTCCAAGTATATTAAATTTCGTATCATTAGTAAGGGTAATGGAAATTAATTTTACTCTTGTACTTATTTATTCATGTATGTTTCGTGCATGTTCATGCGTGTTCGCGTATAATATAATGTAAAGCAATGTTTTATAAGAATTTTATAATCCAGGAGAAGAGGAACGAACCTCTTCGGAATGTAATCTTCGTTTTATTGAACGAAAGTACAAAAAGATTCACTTCGCACTCGTGATAATTATGTATGTGAACATGTAACTTTTTTCTTCTACGACTCACAGTTTCAACATATGTTGTGAACGATATACATGTAAGTAATGTACATATGCTCAATGTCCCTGTATATTTGTTAATGATACAAAGGACTGTTAAACAGAGTTTGAGAATAATTAATTTAAAAGATGTTTTAACTTTGACTTTATCAAATTTAGGATACGAATGTGTTTATATTCTTCTTATCTTCTACTTTGAAAAATACTGTCTATCATTATATTAAAATATTAAAGATATTAAAATATTGCTTGTCTTAATAATTATACCTTCGGCTTCCTCAAAATCTCATCAACTTCTCAGCTATTTTTAAACAGCATATATTTTCGAATCTAGGTAGGTTGATTTCATTTGCATTTTATTTTTATCTTAATTTTGTTGTGCAAGGTTGTTGTATATAATTCAGACAAAATCCTCTGTTCCCGACATCGTTTGGCGCTTCAACGCTATCCGTGTGGAAAATTAATCTAAATGGTTTCACTGTACCTGATAATCAAGATACATTGTTTTTAACCCTTGTGTAAGTAACTATAGTATGTATATTATCAGAAGACAGAAATTAGTACTGGATATTATTAGAAAGCATTCGATAAAATATCAGGAACACTTACTAATAACGGAAGACGCGTTCAAATTTTGATTTTCCGCGTTAAATGTTCCACCGCATATCCGATCGATACAAGTCATCATGGAGGTTGGCAATCTACCTGTGTTAGACGCACACGGTATCGTTAACCAATCGGTTTGACAGGCTGCTCCTGTCATTGATGCTATTTGCATTGCTTGCGTATTTCCAGTTAACGTAAATCCATTACTACGTGCCATTCTTGCCATAGTGGCACCATCGTTTGCCAGTACTGCTTCATCGTGTCATAAAATATTAAAGCATAATTATTGAGTTGCTATAAATACAATTCATATATCGCACAATACATATTTCGAAAGTGACAAAATTCAAACCAGTTTTTCAGGGAAAGCGAAAGGCTGTTTGAAAGCTTATCTCGCTATATTATTATATCTTAAGCTTATATGTCTAACTATATTAAGCTGAAAAAAAATTATCTTTTAGATCTTAAACTTTCACGATGATCAGAAGATATATATGTGGTTCTTTTGAAATACATGTGCGATATGTTCGCATAAATATGTGTATTCGTTCTTCGTTCTTCTTCATTCACGTATTACCATCTTTATCATCGATCGGGCATGCCATATACTGAATACCGCAAAAATTCCTTTCCATTCGAATGCAAATACTGTAATCTTGATTCGACAGTTGCAATCCGGTGTTAGGATCGTAATTGAACGATTTTATTTGGCCGGATATCCCTGTGAAATATTGCAAACACCCTTCCTCGGCTCTGTATATAGTATTGCAACGTATTTGAGAGACTCGTACTTTCCAAGATCGAGCAAAAGAATTTCCGCTTGTAACAAATGTCAACGTGACAGGATTCGTTTGTCCAAGACCAGTATCGACGTATACTATATAAAAACAATGGTTACTACGTAAATGAAATATTATAAATAGATTAATGGACTTTATTTTTCAGAAAATCAAGCTTAAAAACTTGTATCACGATGGTCTAAAATATTCGGAATACGGTACTCGTTATAGTAAATAAAACAAATCTTTGTCCAAATCCTATTCTTTCAATAATGTTTATAAAGATATTTTTCTAATGTAACGTAATGACAAAGTGGTTACGTACTATGATTGTCAGCATTATTTCCACATATGGTAGATACCGGATTACCCCCAGAAACGATAAATTGATCATAGATACACTGATGGTTAGTCGTTTCCGGACCTCTTGTATTAAACTGCAAGAAATCCAATCTAGAAAAGACACATTACTTGTCAATGAAATTCGATTCTATCAAATAAAGCACTACATTTGAGATGAAAGTAACCCACCTAAACTGGCATACGGTTGGATGCGACTTAACGAGCGTTAATTGACAAGATATAGTACCATCAAACGTTGATGGATAATTCGGATTAACGAAATAAGTATTATTGTTGCTGGTTGTCTCGCCGCAAGATACTGTCACTGAACCGGTATAAGAAAGAAAAATTGTTAAAACCGCTTAACGGAAAAAAGGAAAATATAACATACCAATGCAGCAAACTCCGTAACCATTTGCGCAAACTCCGCTAGATACACCACCACGTTTCGAGCATTCCGAAGCTGCGATACAGGTACCATTTTCACCATTTAATCCGACGCAAACGTTATTGTCAAATTTTACCAATGTAAATAATGGGAAAACTAGAAATAAGAAACGAAACAGATTATTCTAGCAAATTAAAAAAAATCTACTGCTGCTCATAAGTACATGGTAGTCTTTATACTTACGTCGTTTTTCTCTACCGCCCTGACTTGGTGCGCTATTTTGAAAATTAATCGACTGTAATTTACCCTTTAGAGAGTTTAGAGGGTCCCGTTTAAGCGATAACGATTCGTTGACGCGATTAATATTTGGTTGCCAAAGATGTCGAAACCTTTTAAGAGAACTCCACGCGTCAATATTTATGCACAACATAACAGAGTATAATAGTAACGTAATGATACAGTATCTACGCATCATTAAACAAATACGCCTTCGATGTAATAATTTAAAAAATATAACTGTAAAAAAGAAATTGTTTAAACGTAAATTGTTCAAAAAATGTCAAAGGTCCAATGAGACGTGTGTTCTGCAACGATTGCTCTTCGACTAACAGAAACGAAGGACTGGAAAACTGGTATATTTAAGTAAAAATGCATATACACGGTCTGAATGCTACATAGTTTAATTGAAGGAAGCGTTAAGATCATTGTTGAACGTTGATCTTTAAGCAGATTGAGAGAAAGTCAAGATACCTTACGAATGACAAATCTCTAAGGTCTATCTATTGTGTTTGCCTCTTGAGTCGAGACACAGTATTTACTTTCACGGCTTTAATTCAACAAATTTAAACGTTCTTTCCCTTCACTGTAAACGTTGCTTTAAACGTTTAAACCTCTATTGTCATTTTTACCTGTAGATACGATACAGTACGTTTAAGGTAGATACCTGTTCTCACGTTTTCTATAAAGCGGCACGTGCTTTGATAAATGGTGAGCGAGAAAGCGAACTTTCTATGTGATTTTCCAAGTACTTGTTACCATGATCTATATGTTCCGAGGTATGCTTGGCATACAAGATAATGATGGTCAATATTCTTATACGTGTTTACGTAATGTATTATTATGATCGTAATATTTACAAGTCAAATATTCGAAGTATTCGATAGAAAAAAAATTAATACAAGTTTTAAAAGTTCAAAGGTAATTATACATATTATTTTATACAAGGTAGAACTTTGATGCACATACACAAATAATGGTAATAGTAATAGCATGAATAATTATTAGACTGCACATATTTATGCAAATTCATACATTTATGAACACAATTGAAAAAATGGAATCTAAGCAAAGATTTGTTTCACCTATTAAATATTACGAGTACTTTATTTTGGATATTTTACATACATATGTTGTATGTTTATATTCTGTGCGCTTATATGGAGATCTATACAATAAAATGCAAAGAAAGATCAATCGATCGATCAAGATTTTTAATTGCAGCGTTATAAGTATAATTAACATAGTCAATTTTTCGTTCAAATTAAGATGGCATACGATGTAATCATCAACATCTGGATGCAAAATAATCAATATATTAATCGAATCAGTCTTTTAACGTATGAAAAGAATCGTTTCTAATCTTTTTATTCACTTACCTATTATTATATATTATTATCTTACGAATTCATTTTAAATCAATAATACCTGTGATAATACAAACTCATAGAAATAGGTTAGAAAAATTATTGTGTTTAAAAATGAGTTTTATACAATACAAATCCAAACACATTCTCGCACATATTCTAATAAAGGTAAACACTCATATTCTAATTTACTTTACCATATCATGAAAATTACTATGATAAATTAAATACATACATTTAAGGAGAAGAATTCGTCAATTAAAACCTTCAAAAGTAATCGAGTAGAATTTAAAACGAGCGCTCGAAATATGTAAAGATGGCACTCGATATCGGAGATTCATATATGCATCTATAATATATGCAAAGAGAACAAAGATTCTGCTGAGAGGTGGAAGAAAATAATAATAGTATGGTCACTGAAGGACCGATTCGTTGAATGACAGTTTCAATTTAGATTCGATTGTGGTTAGTTTGGAAACGTGTCGAGTAAACTCGAAATTGTGATCGCGAGTAATCGCAGGCACCGAAAGATCGTGGCGCTGTGTTGAGCGTGCGCTGACGCCATAGTGTGTGCGAGAGGCGAGAACAGCCGAAATGGAGGAGAGTCAAACATCGGAAAGTGTCGCCGTGCTACCGGACATGTCCGAACCGTTGACGAGCGAAACCGAGGATGCGTCTGCCCTAAAGGTCGAGCACGAGGAGCATACCGTCGCCGTGACGGCGAGCGTCACTCCGGTACCGGGTGTTCCTGGTGTTCCAGGGGTTGGTGTACCGGTTTCTTTACCCGTTGGTTCTATCATTGGTGTAGCGAACTCGACCAACGGCACGACCTTCAACGTCATCACATCAGACCAACTACAGGTTGGTTGTAGAAGCAATTGAGTGTTTGTTAAACTTGTATTTAATACAATTTTGATACAGAACTGGCTTTCTGACGATTCATTCACTTTCTCGCTAAAGAATTACTGAAAAATAAGGTGGGGTTTTACTCTTCTTATACACATGTAAGCCAGAACTACTTACATGCATAGTGTACACAACATTAACTCCTATAATGCGCCTGTTCATACGTTGTACAAAATACTGGAGGCATGTCTTTTCTACAATTACGCGACACGATTATGATTTTATATACATATGACGTTAATGGAATCTGTATATCTTATTTTAAATTAAATATCTAATTATATATGTGTTTCATTTCTTTTTCTAGTTGCCCGGATCAGGTCAGTTTAAGCAGATGCTATGTGTAGATAATGGTTTCATTTGTGAACCACGGCATGACAAGGACACGGATTCTTTACGTTGGAATGGTGAATTAAAAGCAACGCATATAGTAATCCAAAATAGTACAGAAGAGCCAGAATCAGAACAGATTCATGTCTCTACTGCTAATACTCAACCAATATGCAGTTGGTCAGAATCCGCTAATTTAGCAGTATTACCTGTTAGATGTAAAAATACAAATGCTGAGTTGCATAAAAGTAGATTTGGATCTGGGGGAAGAGGAAGATGTATCAAACTTGGGCAAGACTGGTACACACCAAGTGAATTTGAAGCATACTGTGGGAGGGCATCCAGTAAAGATTGGAAACGCAGTATTAGATTTGGTGGTAGAAGTTTGCAAACATTAATTGACGAGCAAATTTTAAAGCCACATGCTACTTCTTGCACCTGTGCAGCATGTTGCGATGATGACAGTGCAGTTAGTATACTATGTTACTCTATAATTAATATGTAATTGCAATTTATCCAGTGATCACGTAATGTTTTTTTATTTCAGACAGGTCCTGTAAGATTGTTTACACCGTACAAACGTAGAAGAAGGGCTAGAGATACATCTGATGGAGAAACACCATCGCGTAAACTTAAAAGTGATACTTCGCGCGATGGCAGTAATAATGACGAAAGCGATAGTGAAGTTGTAGTACCTGATAAAGAAGTATGGCCTCAATTTGTTTCAACAGATGGTTTAGTTGTACAACAGCCGCAAGATCAAGATACCGTTGTTCAAAATGTACATCAAACGGAAAATGGACAAAGCGACGATATATTTAAAAAGCTCGACGAAATGTCCAATAAAATGTTAAAGTTGGCTTATGAATTTAGACGTACATTAGAGGAAGCTAAGGAAGTAAACAGACAACAAAGAAGAGAACAGGCTCTAGTGGCGCAATTAGGTGGTAGAGGGGATGTTATTGAAACTGTTGGTTTACAACCAGCATCGGATACTCATAACAAAAAGGTAAGGAATATTGCTAGAGTATAATCAAGTGTATTCTATCTATATACATATCTTTTACTAGCTTTTCATAATACTTATCTATTTCTAGTGTGCCAACTGTAACAGAGAAGCATTTGCGGAATGTTCGTTATGTAGGCGAACACCTTATTGCTCCACGTTTTGTCAACGTAAAGATTGGGCAGGTCATCAAGTGGAATGTGTGAGAGGTGCTGCAGAAACTGTAATGCTTATAGTTGAAAGCAGTAGTGGAGATACTAGTGCACTTGCTACGACTGCTGGGGACCAATAGCTAGTGTTCCTCACACCTATTCACCAAAGTAACATAGGAACTGAACAAACTATCTTAGAAACTTCGAAATTGAGAGAAGAGACGAAGACTTTAAAAAAATCTGTTTAATGACCAATGAGTCAGAAAGTTTTGTATATATAGTAGTAAATATTTTATATATATACAAGAGTTAAATTGTAACGATATTATTAAGTAAATAAGCAAATTTACACTAAAGTTGAAATTTTTTTAAATCAAGATTCAAAATTATGCTATATACAAATGAAAGATCGTAAATCAAATAATTGTAAAAATAAACAACAACGTGCACGTGTATATATGCATACTACTATGCATTTTGAACGTACAGATACACGCGCACACGTTTATGCGTGTTTATGCGTATGTTGTATCACGCATGATAAAATATACTTTTATGAATCACTTTTTTTTACATAAATTTATATCATTGACCAAAGGAGGTAATTACGCTTTTATGGATATTATTTATAAACACTGTCTCCTTTTTCTTCTGTTTGTAGGTATTATTTTGAACTTCCTCTCCAAATTCTTTTGTTAGTACAAATTTAATATTATGAGGACATTATAAAAATGATATTTAGAATGAAGGCTAGCTTCTATTTTATGAATATATCGAGTCATACATTTATATCATCTCTCACACATATTTACACTTCAAATCGATGTTCTATAAACTCGCAATCATAATGGATTTCATGTAGTTACTATAGTATCATATCATTTTTCCACTTGAAATAGCAGAAAAATATTAATGTATATTTACATATATATACCTAGTATGCAAATTATAACGGTGATAACACAAAAAGTCTAACAAACATCACTAAACAAGAAACACAGTATCAAATGTATTATATAGCTATTATTTTTAATATATGATTTTCTAATCAAATTCATAACGAATATCATTTACTAGAGTTCTTTTACAAGCCATATTATTACCACCATGATTCATAGCATTATTATTATTATTATTATTATCGTCACTATTAGTGCTGTTAATTAATTATAATAGTACGATGATAACAAATATTTTGTTAAGTAAAACATGAAAGTTTATTTTGCTTATATACAAAGTGAACAGAAAAAAAATAAATATTGTTTTCATCAATTATTAAGTGTCTATCTTATTCTTATATGCTTTGATACATTATATTTTATTCAATTATAGATACTATTAACATAGTTCGAACTTAGTTATAAAAAACTTTTTAATAATATTACGTGATTTGCAAAATGATAATTATCTAATAATTTCCATAATGTTTCAATCTATATAAAAAAGCACTAAATGATTTGTTGGAAATTGCTATATAACCGCTACCTGGTGAAAAATCGATAGCTTCGGGTATTGACAAATTTGTTTGAAATGTAGGAAAATTTGAAAAAACCGTGAACGATGGTAAATGCATCATTCTAAACGCATTATGTTTTTTATCTGAAGCCATTGCCAAAATTTCAGAATAAGCATTAAATTTTAAACTGGTAATCGACGTGACAAAATTGAGAACAACTTTTAGTGGAACAGGATTTCGATTTTGTAACACTGTCTTGGTATCATACAAATTAACTACACCCTCTTTACTACCTGTTGCTAAATATTGACTATTTGGAGACATTGCAATAGAAGCACAGGATAAACATCCATCATCTATAGCTCGATGAATGCATACACGGCTATTTATATCCCAAATGTACATTTCGTTGCTGTCTTTAATTGTTCAAAAAGAAATAAAAATTCACATTAAACAAGGAATATATAAAATTGAATAAACAGTGATAAATACAAAAAACTTACCACCATGTGTAATCAATGTATTACTATCTGGCGTAAAGGCTAATGCTCTACATCTTGCATTCATTTTCAACATACTGATAAGTTCCTTTGATGAACTTGTTAATAAGAAAATTTCTCCTGCTCGCCCACAAACTGCTAATAATTTTCCATCTGGAGATACTTCATATTTCTAAATAATTTATAAAAATGTCATTCTATATAATAATTTAGATTATTATAAAAAGATAGTTATAATTTCTCAAACCTGCATGTTAGTAAGTCCATGCGGTAACAACATTCTATATGTTTTTCCACTCATTAAGTTATAAGAGTGACAATGTGCATAATATTGAGAACCAATCAATACTTCTGTACCATCTCTCAGAAATTTTGCTGTGCTAATAGGAAATTTCTTATACTGCATTGTGTGCAATTTATTATTTTCAATTCCATCTACCTATAATTATATCATATTTTGATAAATTCTCTATTTGCAAATACAGGTACAAATACAACTAGATTTTGTATAATTACTTGAAAAAGAGATAAAATTCCAGATGTACCAGCAACCAAGGCTACTGTAGAAGATGGATGAAATTCAACACTTGACACAATGGGCCCTTCAGTATGTGTTTCCTTATTAATTGGTGTCAATGCTTTTATGTCAATTATACTCTTTGGCAAATTTTTTACTTTAGGTTTTTCCAAATGGCAACTATGCTAAAAAAATATAATACATATTTAGGAATATTAGTCATTGAAGTGGTAAAATGACTTTAGTACCTTTAATATTTCATTATCTAAATCATCAGATTCTTTATTGATCTTTCCAATCTTGGCCCATTTTGGGTTGCCCACAATCTGTTTATATTTGTTACGCAAGTAATCTTTACGTGACTCTTGTGGCACATTGTCGGCTAGTTTGTGTCTTGGTCGACTAATAAAAAGAATAAACCATTTGATTAGTTTCCGAATAATATATATTATTTAAAAACAATATTTTTCCTTTATTACTAAACAACATATTTTGTTTTCATTAAATTTGGTATACATACGCATATTGAACATCATCTTCATCAATCCATGCCGCCTCTGTATGTTCTTCAGAAATATCAGTTTCAATCAAATCATTACTTACATCATCATTTATAGAAATATTATTTTCATTAATATTCGATTCAACAACATCCTCATTGTTTGATAAATCGTTTATGATGTCAGTTGGATTACCAAGCACGATTCTTTCTAACCTGTATACAAATAATGTGATAAATTCTGTTCCTTAAACAACTTAGTTACTTGAACTTTCTATATTATCGTAATAATTGTACCTGGCCTCTTCCTTTGCATCATATTCATTTTTGTGGTTCCTTTTCAAAGGTTCAGTGTACTTTTGTTTATACAATGTTTTTGAGGGAATACCTTTCTTGTTTAACATTTTAGTCGGTACCAATTTCTTACGATTCAATTTGTTTTTCTCCATGATGTATTGACCGACTATTATGATTTACTTAATACAATTTGTAACACGTTCAAATAATCAAATATTATGTATTTTTAACATAACTTTCTCACATGTTCCTCCTTTTCTACAATCATTAAAATACTAAACATATATACTCCCTAGATAAATTCACTTCTACGAAATACTTTAAATAAATTAAAAAATTCTTCTGAAATTATAAATATTAAAAACAACGAGTATATTTAATTATATCGGCTAGATCTGTATACATTTTAACGATTTTGTAATTCTATTGAATATTTTGTACTAAGCGTTTGATAACTAGTGACTAATGAAATATATTTCGATTATGTACACTGCACGTGTATAAAAGATGCTCCAAACTGTTTTTTAATTTAAAAAATACTTTTAAAAATATAAGAAATGATAACTTTTTGAAAAAGATTTATTTGGCAATATTTCTTAAATAACGATCTTCATTTCCTCTTAACCAATGCACATAATACATGATTAGAGAATATACTGATTCCACAATCGGGATGAATCAAACTTTAACCTTCTTCATTGAAAGATGATAGCGAAGATTTAGAATCAATATCAGAAGATAAGTGTTCTTCTATTGCAAATAGGGAAGGACATTTCGGTTGATACTGTTCTACAGCTTCCAAAAGACTGTTTGGATATCCAGGAGAGTAATATCTAAAATCAAAAGGGCCAAGAATTCATGATATAAAAGAAAAGGGAGGAAAAAGAGTTTATTCTAATGGCAACACGCATAATAAATTGATTACTAAACGTATAAATGACGTTCATTCATTTGTAACTTATTTGTAAATTAATAAGATCCAAAAATACAAAATATAGTGAAAACGGAAGTAAATTAAAAAATATATGTATAAAGTTGGCTTAACACTGAATCGAGCTATTGATAATAAATATAAAATGCTATCGGTTGTTCTATAGTGATTATAGAAATTATTGAGTTCATGTAATATTATTGATCCATTAAAATCCAAGTTTATATTTTTCCAATGCAATCAGCTGTGACAACATGGCGGTCATGCCGTATATTACTTGTCCGATTTAAATTAAGACACGCGATCCAGAAACGGAGCTGCAGTTATTTGCATTCACTGCTCGTGTAAACGGCTGTAAGAAGACTGTATTTTTTTCATTAACAAGAACTCGTGTTTCCGAATTCTCTCAGTAAGTAAACCATTACTAGGGTTATGTCAAAAGCAACTAGTGTTATTTTTGATAATTATCTACTCCTATCATTATCTTTACATCCATATGCTTCTCTGCATGCATCAGTATTTTAGTCATCTTGATGGAGAACATAATCCAATTTTAAATGTCAAGAAAGACAATAATTCTTTCAAATGAAATGATGTTTTGAACTATCATATTACATCTTACTGAAATAGCATTATGACTTAAAAATTATAAAGCATAATCTTCTCTAGCAATATTATAGTTATTATAAATTGTTGTTTAACATATCATGTTGATGAGAGAAACAATTTCAAAAATATGCAATATTGATCTTATGTTAAAGATATCAAATATATAATTCGTACCCTTCAAATTATTTTTAATTGAAATAATTTCCAAAAGCGATATGAAATAAAACACAACCTGACAATTTCATCTGGAAAACAGCAATTTATAATTTGTATATACTCCAAAAGTGTTGAACCAGGATCTGCTTGAATTTCTTGTACTTTCTTTAAACCACCGGATGTTACAAATAATCTTCTTGCCCTGGGATCATGAGGCAAAATCTATATAAAAATAACAAATAATTCAAAAATGCAACTTGAAATAGTTGAAATGCTTTAAACATTATCATTTATCAGTGATCTCATTAACTATGCGCATGAATGGAGAGAATGAAAGACATTATTAGCTATCAGTTTGCATGTTGCAATATACCTAAGAATAAAACTTCTGAGACCTGACCTACACACTGTTTAAATGCAGTTATCTAAAGTAAACTTAATTTCTTAAATGTTTTAATCCACAGCAAATTAAAATAATTAAAAATGTCTTTTAGTAAATGATACCACGTTTACGATTTTATAAAAAAAATATATATATATATACATGTAATATTGTATCAAAATTTATTATAAAATATCCGAAATCTAAAAAACATTCTTTGCAATATGCAATAGAAGTTATTTCTTATAACATCTTATGTGATTTCTAATGTCCACATTATAAAAATTACAAATTACAATATGAAATCGATCTTTGTATGAAATTCTGTCTTTTCGCATATTTGTAATAGTATTTGATAATTTATTCAATAGCATGTTACGATTTCTACCATAATACATATTACAAGCATCGTATGCAACATATTTCTAGGCGAAGCAAAATCTGTCCACATTTTCCACCTTCCTACGCCGCCAAAAATATCTTATTTACGAAAACAAAATTCCAGAACAAAATCGTGGGATAACGTGTCTGTCACAGACCTGTTGATAAATTAAAAATTTCTATTATCGTTTAAGTGAATTTTTTATCACTATAAGCATTATTACTGTTCATAATATGATATGAATAATTAAATATTTTTCAGCTGATTCAGTGTGGCGCCAAAGATCGGTCGCTAAGGGAACGGAAGCAACTTGAGGGCCGTTTTTTTGATAATTACTTCAAGGTTGCTGTTTATCTTTTTTTATTATAAAATACAATTTTTTAATAAAATTTAATCTAAAGCAATCTCCAAATATTAAAAACAAAAGTCTAATATTTTAGAATAATTTATTATAAAAGAATAAAAAAGATATATGTAACAGCATGTAAAAGAAATGTGAAAAGAAAGATTGAAACACTAAGTAGAAAGTAATGCCCTAAATACAACGATCTTAATACAATAGTTGAGAAAGAAATTTAATGAAGTGTCAAAGATAAAAATCAAGGTTGAAGATTATTGTAAGATTTAATGTATTGTAGTTAAAAGATAACGAGACAAGACAGATGCCTTAGAGTTCAAACATATAAGAACATAAGTGATAAAAGGAGATGACATCATTGTATACAAAAATTAATTTGTACTGTGTACTAAGCAGTACTGTTTGTAAAATTACTGGCAAATATTTCTAATATGATTAACACAAAAGTCTGTCATTTATAAGAAGTTAACTTGTCATAAAATCGTGCAGTGCAGTCACAGAAGTTCTACAGATCACATAAAATGTATACCTTGTATAGTTTCGATAGTAGAGGACTTTAAAGTACATGTATTGAATATTGTAGAACGTGGATATAAGCAACTCTGATTTTACATTAAATAAGAAAGTGAGAAATTAATAATAGACATGATAAACAATCAACATTGTGTTATTCTTAATTCTGGAGAGACCAATAATTATCACCAACCGGTCTCTGCAAAACCTTCTGTTGTTTCTGTATCAAGTATTGATTCTGATGTAAGTGACAGAAGAGATGTACGTGAAGAACTTTATGCTGGGATCTTCAGAAGACACAGGAAGACCATACTTGTGTTAGGCAGTTTTCTCAAAATGTTAAGGGTGAATAGAAATATGAACAATTATGCTAGTATTAAACCTAATGATGATAATGATGAATAAAAGAATAATTTTATTGCATAAATGGAGTAGAAGACCAAGTTTAATTTTTTATACTGAAAATAATTAAATTGATATTGTTATTGCTTTGTAAAAAGATCAAATGTACTTTAATTATCACACATCTATTAAGATTAATATAATTTAATTGCTTAAACAGATTTTTACATTTAGTAATTATTTCTCCTAAAAAGAGGCTTATCTTACATAAGGTATTATCTTGATAAATTACATGCAGCTGTCATATATTATGTTTGAATCTGTTTGCCATGATAACTATATAGATCATAAATTTGTGCTTACTAACGTAATTTTGTATACTTTATGACTAAAAGGGCATAAATCTATCTGAATAGCTTTATCAATGGATAAAGAATATTTAAGAATCAGTTATAATAGTAAATTTGAAAAGTCACATATAACTTATAAATATGAAAATTATAGCACAAATTATCATCTAACACTTTTTACAAAGCAAAACGTTTTAATTCAAGTATAAAATATTTTATATCACACACATATTTGATACAATATCTATAATATTGTTACATATTACTTTATTTTCATAGTTTTGCTTTTCCCAATAAAAAAAATTGATTTCTTTCCCTCATATTATAAGATAAATTATTTAAATAATTCAACTATTAAGGTACAAAAGCAGTTAAACATTTTATTTACATTTGAAATATTTTTAATCTAATTGTCATGGAATAACGTAATTTTGTCTTTTTTCTCATTTTTCAGAGATACTTGGATAGATTGCATGCTCTGAACCGAATATATGCCTTAATTGCTTTACATTTTGATATTGTCATACAACAAAAGTTTTGGTGAAATCATGAAATTCTAATTATTGTAACATGTCTGTTTATATGTACCTCAAGTTAATTTAAATAGATATTTTCAAGACTTAAAATTTATGAGGCTTTATAAAAATTTATCGTAGTTTATATTTTTATTGAAGCTGTTTTCCATTGTCTGTTTTAATGTGTATCCTACTTTTTTCAACATTTAGCAAAATAAATTTCCTTAAAACGTTTCAATAAAGAAAAGGAAGGGATGAAGAAGAATATGTGATGCAAATAAAGAATTAGCAAAATACCGATAGTGAAGTGAAAGTACTACTGCCGATCATATATGTTACATTTCTTTACTTATGTTTGTACATAAGAAATCGATAATACAGTATGAATGAGGATTAATAGTAGCCAACTTTTTCGAGATGCAAATTTAATAACAATTTTTTGTTACTTATATATCTACAATTTTTATATTACTGGTCTCTTTATATCAAATACTGCCATTAGAAGATACATTCAAGTATATGATATAACAAATGCAAGTAGTATAGCTTAACAAAAAAGTATGTTTAAATATCTAAAATTGCAATTACAATTTTTATATAAGAAGCACTTAACAATTCGATCGTTCTGGTACTTCAGCCGAACCATTTATTGTCGTAAGACTGAGAAATGTGCTTTTTCAGAATATAATATGTGCCATAATATTTATAGACGAACATTAAAAATAAAAATAATTAAGATGGTCTTATGCCATTGTCAATTTCTTCACTTTCTATCAATCAAATATCAGATAAATGCAATGACACACAGCATATCGGAACTGTTACTTTTTAATAGAAATATGTGACATCTCATACCATGTTAAGAGATCAAAGTCAAGTTACACCTTATGCAATTTTGGAATAGTGAAAATATATATAAGCAAAACAGATGATGAAAATATTAAAGATTACAAGGTCGGAATAATATCATAAAATGACAATTTTTATTGTTAGAATGCTATTTATGGGATAATAGTTTATATGTGATAAGAATGAACCACTACAACTGCTTAACTAATTTTTCAATAAAGCAATTTCAAATAGCTTAATAATGGTCCATGTGTATATAATATATACATATATATGTTTATTATGTAATTAAATAAAAGAAATAAAATTATTATCAAATAATAATTTTATGTGTTAATATATATAAACTTTACCATTTAGGTGGATTTTATCATATACTGATGATTTATATAATTTATCTCATTGTATGCATATGATAAATAATAAGACAGATGTTTTGCTTTAATTGAAAATTATAAATAAGAGTACTATTTCAATTATTGTACTATTATGTTTTACAACTTTTATGTCCTGTGTACAATTTGTAGAGATTATGTATAAAGTAAAAAGTTATATAAAACAAAATACTGTGTTCCTCACCTTGCTAAATTGTCCAAGTACATATTTTAGAATATTAGGTGGTGAATCATGCAGCAAGGATTCCAAAGCTTCAATATACATACATTTTTGTAGTATTTGTTTCAGTGCTGTATTGCATTTTGCTTTGAGATCTTCTGAGCTATTTGGATTATTGTACAGCTGAAAATAAACTATAAAATAATAATAATGAAGAACAACGTGGTATAAGAAAATCTGTAACATACCTGTAATAACTTTGGAAGAATGTTTGCGACTGCAACTGCTTTTGCATGTTCTGATGTATGCTTCCCAATTTGCCCAATTGCCCATACAGTGACAGCAAGCGTATGATCGTCATTTTCTTCATATAATATAGTAGATAGGTGAACAATTCCCTATAACAAATATTTGCTCTCAATTATTTTGGCTATGGAAATATTGTGACAAGTATATTGAAATATCACACTTTGGATCCTATGACTGCAATAGCTAACTGATCTAAGTGTCCAGCAATATATCCAATTGCCATTATTGCTGGCAATCTGACTGTTAATTTTGAGGTGCTAATTAATTCAACAAGTGCACCAATACCACCAATATTCACTATAAGTTGGGCCAACTAAAGAAAAATATAATTATAGCAAAATAATGTTGCAAATAAGTTGGTTTGATTTCTTTACCTCTAATGTATGTTTACAAATTTCTCTAGTTAACATTGCAGCAGCTTTAACGACACATTCATCAGGATGTGCCATGTGTACAAGAACATCAGGAAAAACTTCAGCTTCAATAATAGATTCTGCTAGGTGTACAGAGTGTTTTGCTATACTGCTTAATGCCAAAAGAACTTGACGCTGTGTACATTATTAATAAGTGGAATATTATATTACAAAATCATACTGTACATATAGTATTTTATGTTACCTTTAACTTAGTATCAGGATTAGATAATGCCTTTGCAAGAAAAGGAATGGCTCCTGCATCAACCACTGTTTCTGCAAGATCAATATTATGTTTGCTTATATCGAATAAAGCAGAGGCACTAATTTGTTTTAAACATAATTCAGGTTCTTGTAAGGCCAAGACTAAAAGTGGAACAGCTCCTATAAATAACATGATTGATATACAAGTTAATAAAATGTAGATAACTAATAGAGTATATTAATAGAGTATATGTACCTGCATCAACTATGGCTTGAGCCAAAGTTTTATTATGCCTAGCAATGTATCCTAATGCCCAAGCAGTAGCTTCCTTAACACCAGAATCAAAATCTTCTAAACAAATTATTATAGTATCCAATCCATTATTCTGAATCACCATAGATGCCAATTCTGGGGAATGTCTAGCAATTGCACGTAAAACAAATAGGGCTGCTTTTTTATAAAATTTCTATAACAAATATGCTTCAATATGTCTTCATTATTTATGTATTATATTTTAATATATAATAAATTCTACTAAAACAAAAAGAAAGAAATACAGTTTTCTACATCTAAAATGCTTACATTCATACATTTTGTTTATCAATATTCTTCAATAATTGAGGTAAAATACCCATTCTTACAACAGCTTGTGCCAATTTCATACTATTATTTGCAAGTTTTCCTAATGCAACTGCAGCTGTATGCTGAATAGATGGTACAGGATCTGTTAACAAAGGGCATAAGAGATCCAAAACCCCAGCAGCTTCTAAACAATCTATAGTGTTTGGTTTTGAGGCAAAATCAGCAATGGATTGAACAAAGAATAGACGAGCCTTTTGGTACTGATCAAAGACTATAAAGGCATAATAATTAGTATTAACATTCCTTGGCAAGCTAATTATTATAAAAAGTTATTCATGTGCAGAAGATATATAAAAATGAAGACTTCTATATGTGCATGTGCCCTTACATTAATTATATTATAGAAGACCGCCAAATTTTTATTAAAAATATTAAAAGTATTTCAAACATTGTACCTTGTAAAATTGAACGTGCTGTCATTTTTGTTTATTTTGTTTATAAATTTTTAAATGTATATGCGATGTTGATACTTTCAATACGTTTTTATACCATTTGACTTTACGAAACTGTCATATGTTTGAAAACGAAAAGCTACCGCCTTCTGCATACTATATAGTATAGCGACTCCAGAAAACAAATGTTTGATCGAATAGAATATAGATGCAGAAATTATCAATCAAAATATAGTAATAGAAGGATATAGCGATAGTAATAAAATACTATATCTTTTATGTAATAATTATTCATATCGGAAAATGACTGAAGAATTATTATCTAAAGAAAAAGAATTTCATCAGTTGAATAAAGAACTTGAGCAGAAAGCAAGCAATTTGATAGCAAAAATAGATTCTGTTGTTAACACTTACAATAACGGATGCTCGAATCTTAATTCGAGGAAACATTGCGTAAATGCGACGAGAGAAAGAACAGCCTGTTTAAATGGTATAACAATACAAAATAAAGATAATTTTCAGATTTTGGTTAAACGAAATTCATCTTTACCTCATATTTTCGATCAATCCGTTGCTTTGAAGCCGTAAGTATGGAAGAAATGCAATTATTTATATTTATGTGTTAAAAAATGATCTCATAACAAATATATTTTAGTTTTAACAAACTATTGAATAAAATTTTTAATTATTTTGTAATATATCTAAAATTAAACATCTGAATAATAAATGATTTCAATATTATTTATATATTAGAAAAATAGAATCACAGAAAGATAACGAGGATGAAGTTTCTAAGCAAAAGAACCTGGCAAATAAAACTGTTCTCAATTTCTTAAAAGCTAAGGTAGATATATTACAGGATGAGCTACAAACAATGCGAATTGAATATAGAAAACAGGTACCTAGAATTCATGTGTGCATGAAAGCATTTATTTGATTAATCCTTACACAACTATGTTGTATGTTCAGTGTGATATTTGCAAAAATTTGGAATCTGAAAATAACAAGATTGAAATTAAGTTAAAAGCTGAAATAGAGTCATTAAAAGAAACAATTACAAAATTAGAGAACACTAACAAGGAGTTGCACTGTCAATCACAAGCATTAAATACAGAAAATTCAATCTTAAAAAAAGTATGCATTACACTCACTCTGTTCTTTTCCAATAACAATTTTTTTTTTATTCATACTAAATATTTTTAACAGGACTTAGATAGACTTCAAAAGCAAGTAAAGATAACAAATCAACAGTCTAATAGTTGCTTGATGAGATTAAATAGATCTTTGGAAAATAATGATAAACTTAAGAATGCATTGAAATATTCTGAAGTAGAAGAAAAGGTGCAACTTATACAAATATATAATATTAGATAAGAAACTTGTATCATATAGCATTTTTATCTTACTTAATGTTTTTACAGGAATTGAAGACCCAAATTAGAAAGTTAGAAGAAGATAGAAAATTAACAGTTAATCATTTGGGAAAGCAACTTTCGGAATTAATACAAGTGTTTAAAAAACAAATGTTAATTGTAGATAACTTAAAGAAGCAAAATGTATGTATATATTTTATCTCTATTATATAAAATTATATATAAAAATTAAAACATTTGATATATATGTACTTTAATCTATCTTTTTAATCGATGTATGTATGTAATTGATATTTATATATACGTATGTACATGTATGTATGCATATAAAAACAAACACACACAAGGCATGCTTACTGGCAGTTGGACAACTAAAATTAACAAAAGAAGATTTCTCAAGATTATTGGATCAGAAACCTGAAAATGTATGATATATTGTATATAAAACATTTATTAAATGACTACTGCAATTCATACATTGCAAAAGATGGAATAACTTCATTTCATAGCCATACATTTTATACAATTTTATATTACATGATATAATCCTTAATATTTTTTATGAAAATCTGTGTTCTTTAATACATTACCTGTCATACATGAAATTTGAAAGTTTTGTGATCTAAGCTTTATGATTCACCTTGACATCTCTTTTTTTGTTTTTATTTATCTTATATCTGGGACATTTCTAGCATTTTTTAACATATACGTAATAAATAAGTTATATCTAAAATATCAATAGAATTTTGAATACAAAATGTCAATGTCATACAAATGTCAAATGAAGTATGTCAAGTATAAACATTAGTCTAATTATAGAAATCATATTTTTTATATTCGTTTAATATTAAAAAGTAATGTCATTTAGAATTACGAAGAGATACAAAACTAATTTCCATCATAACCGAGATGAATTTATTTTATTCAAAACAATTTTCAATAACTTACTCAATTTATTTACACTTAAGTCCTATTTTGTGCATAAAAAATTTGATTAAGAATGATAAATTTCGGTTAGTACGTATAAAAATTCACAAAATTAATTGAATTCATCTCAAAGTTTAATCTTCAAACGTCTCAGAAAACACTGACTATTTTTTTATCAAATGAATTTTACAGATTTTTATTTTATATCCTCGCTTAAACAATATATGTACTATCGTATATTTTCTACGCTTATAAAAGCAGCTCGACATATTCTAAATACTATCACTTGAAATTAGTTAAATAATATCAAGTGTCACAAAAAAGTGAACGAAGATGATATATGTTTGTATTTTCCGTTTAACCATTTCTGCGCAATCTAACTTGAATAATGTTGTTTTAGTGTTTTACTATTTAAATCTCTAATATGTTCTGTTTAATAAAATATATTAAATTAATTGTTTTCTTTCTCTCTTTCTCGTTCTCTCTCGCACTCGCACTTAATACGAAGATGCTATTCTCAAATGCTTATAACTCTTTCCCCCATTTTTGATGCCCCTCTCCTTTTTATAATTACGATAACGTTCCGTTTAAAATTCTTATTTTATAACCCTTTTACACATTGCGTTTTACAACTCAGCCTCACATATATGTATATATCGAAATTTGCTATCCTTATTAAAATTAAAAGCACTGATACATTAACAATTTTCATATTTAATTCACTGCTTGAGTTTATATTTAAAATTATACTGCACCGCAGATTTTCGCATTATTTCATATTGCACTTTAAATATTCAATTTATTTTAGTCTCTAGAAAGTTTCATGTTTAATAAAATATTTAAATAATTGGTATCATAAAGTTGATAAATCTATCGCCGATCAGAGAAAAACAAATCATAAATTAAAGTACATTCCTTATTTTTGAAAGTCTTTATATGAAATATCACTTTTCCAATTAATTTTTACTATAAATCAACTTCAAAATAATCATATGAATCTTCAAATTTTTTGTCATAATAAAAATTTACGTAACCATTACTCCTAAAAACATAGATTGACTTTTATATTATCAGGGTAAACTTTTTTATTCACTGGTATAAAATTTTTTCCGTTATACACGTAATTATTAATTAAACCTCTCGACTGTTGCATTAAAATGCATTACTATCTATGTGTTTAAATTCATGTGTTTCATATTATGTTATAATACAAATAATTAATGAAATTACGTTTCTTTCTTACTTTGTAAGCTCGTAAAAATTATACACGAACAATGCACTTTATATTATTCGAAGGAAAACAGAAAAGGAGAAAAAATAATAATAAAAGGAAATGGTGCATGCCCAGCCTTTCATCCTCGTTTGTTAATACGTGTCTTATAATATATGTTAAATTTGTTTGAAACATTATTTTACTTACAGAGTGTTTTATTCATCTCACTCTTATCACGCTTAATACTAGATTTTCTCGCTCTTTTTTCTCTGTTCTTCTATTTATTTTTACGAGTTTATAATTTCGAAAACAATATTTTTTTTATTGTTCTTTGCAAGGTTATGAATGTAAAAGTTAGATTCGTGCATTTTTCGTTTCACAACACGATATCGTATCAAAAATCAGTAACACTTGAATTTACGTCAAAGGCGGCGTAGACAGTAATACATCTAGCAGCTTGACTATGAAATGATTTTATTAACGTATTATAAAAACCAGACTCTAAATGCGACCAGAGGGACAACATGGTACAAGGGCATCCATGTACAAGGAGAATGTATGAGATTCAAATTCGAAACTTAAATAAATATTGTGACAATATCTAGCAATGACATTGGACAGTCATCTTTCGTTCGCGTATATGGTTGCTGCTGTATCGTTGTCGTAGATCAACTTGATCATGCCAGGTAGCTATACGTGTCCTTTTGATATTATAAAAACCAGACTCTAAATGCGACCAGAGGGACAACATGGTACAAGGGCATCCATGTACAAGGAGAATGTATGAGATTCAAATTCGAAACTTAAATAAATATTGTGACAATATCTAGCAATGACATTGGACAGTCATCTTTCGTTCGCGTATATGGTTGCTGCTGTATCGTTGTCGTAGATCAACTTGATCATGCCAGGTAGCTATATGTGTCCTTTTGACCCTCTGTGCGCTCCAGATATTCTTTCTCAATTAAAATATCTATACATTTCTGAAAGAGCAGAATCATCTTATATTAAGGTTATATCTTCTTCATTTCAATTTATTTTCTCAAATATTTCTATTCATCGATATCATGTTATGATAAATCAATATAAGAAAAAATACACGTTTACATATGTTAAAAAATTATTCGCATATATTTATATATGTGAAAATGTCTTAAAAAACAATGTCGTTTATACGTACCTTAATAACATGTACTCTTGGTTTGAACCTAGAGCTTAATTGATTCAATACTTCAGCTACCAATTGTTGATGTTTGAGTACTTTCCTCATTTTCATAATCCTAACAATAGCTGCCTGAATTAAGAGTTTTCTATCTTCTTCTATATTTTTTTGTGTTGTTTCCTGTTCAATCTTTAATTCCGTTTTCATTGGTATATTGATATTAACCCGCAGCTTCTTGCTGTCATAAAAGAAATATATTAATATAATTTCTGATAAGGTAAATATCACAGACTATTAAATAGAGTTACTTTTTATATCCTGTGAAAAGCTCAACTGTTGAAAGTGGTGTCAATTCAGCTTCGTCATCAGTAGCAGCTGTTAATAGTTTAGCTTTCAAGAGTATTTGAATAACCTGTAACAATGAATATATCATCTAGGCTCTATTTTATATGTTAATTCTTTTGTTTTTGTTATATTACCTGAAGCAAAAAGTCCATTTTTATCTGTGTAGCATCATGTAATTGTTGTATCGTCCATACAGTAGAACCATTATATTGTAAGAGAACAGCCATTTGAAATGTGGATGCTTGCAACGTGTATCTGCAATAAAAGAATGAAAACTCATTTGCAATTGACACAAAATATTTATTATAAATTTAACTTAAATTTTATTGTTAAATATTTTATGACCTGTTTTTGAAACAATTTGTATGCAATTCTCCTTTAGACATATTGTACAACCAATTCAACTTTCTTCCACTATGCTGTGAACTATAGAAAGTGGTGAACCTATGTACAGATCTCTCTAGCTGTAATGCAAAGATAATATTTAAATGATACTATTATCATCAAATAAATTATTCAATTCCGTTTACCTCTGTTGGTAATGAAAATGTAAAGGATTGTTGAAATGGCCAAGAACCAGAAGACAACACTTGTATATTGAAATCTATATCCAATGGTTCAGCAGAGTTTGTCAAATGTCTTCTAAACTGTTCATTTAGATCTTTAGACACACCAATATCCTGTGAACAGACTGCTATAATTATAATGTTGTATGATTTTGACAAATATTAGTAAACAATATAAAAATAATTGCCTACAAAAAAATAAAAAATCCGGAAAAACGCGTGAAATACAATACAAATTAAATAAAAAAAAAAGAATATCATAGCACAATACAGTACCTGAAACATTCGTTGCAATTTTGAAGTATATTCAAAACCACAAGCTTGCTTCAATTTAGAAATCATAGAAGCTTCTGCATCATCACTGGCAGACATATGTTGTACTAATCGTTTTGCCAGCATTTTACTATAGAATTTTTGAAACACATCTTTGTCTTCTATATATTTAAATACCACCATCTGCGATTGAAAGAAAGGGTGTAATATTTTTAGCAATGTAGTTTTTGTATTTTATTCATTTCATTTTTACTCACAACTTGATTCAGTGTATCTTCAAGTTCAGCTTCTTCAGGATTTTTGCTACTCTTTTTTAACAACAGGTCACAATATTTTGCTAATAATTCTGGTGATTTGCTGCTGCTATTTGCTGCCCTAGTTACTGAATTACTGTTAATGAATCTTCCACAAGCCTTATCAAGAGCTGCCACAAAACCACTGTCATTATTAAATGCAACAAGTACTAAAGCATTGTATTTTTTATGAACCTCCAAAATAGTGTTTACATAAACCTTTGGATCCTACAAAAAAATATTTTTACACAAAATTAAGTTGCAGTTATTTTAAATTATTAACGAACGTACATTAACTGCAGAATCACCACATTTATCGATAGCTCCAAGTCCTTGATTAGCTATATGACCTTCTAAAAGATTCCGCAATTCTCCAAGACCATTTGGAATTCTTGCCACTAACTGATACATCCGACCTAAGTCTGTGTTTTTGTCAGCATCCAAGAGATTTTGAAATTCAGAATGAAAAATGTCCAAATGTTTTTCAATTAACACTCTTTCACACGTTTTGGCTAATATTTCGTGCGTTGTTTGATGCAAATATACCTGAACTCGCTTTTGTTCTTCCAATAACCTTTGCTCTGCCTATAATAAAATAATATTTGTAAACAGTATTCTTAGAAGATATGATAATATAACAAAAGTTGATTTCAAAACCTTTTTCATATATTCTGTAACTGGATTTTGTCGAAGGAACTCTGAACTTTCTCGAGTATAAAACCTTTCTGTATCTTCAAGGAAGACATTTTCGAAAGAATCTTTGTAAACAGTAAGATTCTGTCCTTTAGCACCGGGATCATCCTCATTCAAACCTAATTCTACGTAACAATTGATTACACCACTGACTAAACGTGTATTTATGGTTTCCCCATTGCGTTCCCGTTCGATTAATTTAAGTACTGCGTTAGTAACCTGCGATGTATTATAATACAGAATTTACTTTTTAGTCTATTTTCCATACATTTACTTATTAAAAGACTTACTTGTCTATTTAAATGCTTGAATAAGTTATCTCGCCATGTAACCAAAGCTGATTGATAAACTTCATAAATTCCTTTGCGACCCTCCTCACATTCTCTACGTACCCAATGTCGATTTAGATACGAGCATACACCATTCAGTACTTTACTACTAAACTGATATTCTTCCCATTGTCTTGTATAGAACTGCAATACATCTTCATCCATCAAGTCGATTCCATGCTATGTAAAAAATATCAAATTAAAATATCGAATATTCTAGTCATGGATTAATTAATAATGATAATCAGTGAAAAGAAAATCACCTTCAATAAACTTATAAGATAATTTCTAAGAAAGTCACGTAAACGTTTATATAATTCCAAACCAACTAACTGTGCACCTCCTTGAGAAATTTGTCCTTTCTTACTTTTGGTTGATGTTCTAGTTAATTGTTGATGAACACTTGTGCAATAATTATATACATGTCTGACAAGTTATGTAATAAGGAAATTAATAGACCGTAGAGAATTATTTTGCTATTATAGTTTCATTTCTTTCTTTTTTTGTTGTTTAATATTTAAATTAAAAAGGATACGTGTACAACTCTATATATCTTGGTTTAGACATACATTGTCTGTTATAAACTTGTTCAATACCTTCACGTAGATCTCCCCAAATTTGATCTAAATCTATTTGTTTGAGGCCTGCTGGGCCTCCTTGATGACTCCCAGCTCCTCCTCCACCTCTATGCCCTGACATCCTATTTTTATACGCTTGTCGAGTGAGCGTCACTGTTACTACTGTCTACAATAATTTCTGTAGGAAAAATAGAAAAGAATCTGCTATGTAATTCAAATACATTGTACAGAAATTGTATAGAAAATAGAAATATAATACAATAAAGCAAATATAAAAAAATGAACAGCAAAAATTTGACTTTTGTATACATAGATGTATAATACTAATTTTATTAGAATAGTTTTTAGGATACAAATGATAATAATAATCATGATGATGATAATGATGATGATAAAATAACGATAATGGTAATAATAATAATAATAATCATAATAATAATAACTATTATAGCACAAAACAACATATTCAATAACTGAAATAAACTCTGGAACATACTATTACATCTAATGATATTTATTAGTGATTAATTATTCCAAAATTTCAATGTCACAATCATTTGCTTATATACACATTTAAAAGCTGTTGAAATCGTTTGTGAAACTATAAATATAAAAACTATGTGAAACCTTTGTGCGCTTACGAGGGACGATTAAAGAAAAAGTGATAGTAAGTGCAATTGGATGAAGATATTCGTGGGGAGAAAAAAAATACATTTGAGCAAAAAAGGTTAGTCGGTAATCGGAAGATCCATACCGATGTAGTTACATCAGGATGCACATCGTTAGCAGTAGCTCGAATTTTTCGTCAGGAAACTTCAGAACATCGCAAATCTTCGTGCTACAACACTACCATCCGTCACTATTGAAGATCCATAAAAAGCAATTGACAGAAATAACACCATCGCAGCCCGTTGCCATAAGAGAATTACTTTTTTTCGTTGGTAGAACGGAGGGAAATATTGTGAGACAGAAAGCGCGCACTCACCTGTCGACGTTCACCACCGCATAACAGGCAGGGTTAGACAAGGGAGTTCTCGTGAAAACGTGGTGGCTATCTTTAACGATCACTGGTACTTCGTTCTACATACGCTTTAACGAGAAATTTATAACGCATCCGCTTGTTAGTTTTGCGCTCTACACGATGACAAGCACAGTAAAACCGCGAACCTAAAATGTTGTATCTGTGTGCCCAAAACTGACTACAGTTCCAATCTGCTACTTTACTTCTGACAGGTTAGGTATCACTGTTACCAACAAAAGAGTACATATATCTTCGATTTTAAGATCTATTTCCTTCACAGTCAGAATATATTATTACTTTTTGCAGTATATTTTATCTATCTTTCTTACTTAGATACTTTCTATCTTGGAAACTTGCGTTTCAAAATTTTAAACTGAAAAGTGTTAAAATAAAGGTTCTTTCGATACCTATAACGAGCGATAGTAATTTTTATTTTAGAATGTGGATATATTGATTATGAAAATCAGTCTATAAAAATCTTAATTGATAATTGTTAATTATCTTTTCTATATCGTATAAGATTGTACGTATATTTATGTAATTATTAACGTTTATTATTTTAATAGTATATTAACTATAATTTTCATTAATATTGCTGCCTGTTCATTAGTTTAGTTTAGTTTAGATTTTTAAGTGGATAAAATGTAAATAAATATATACAGGTACAAAATAATAATGCGGAAGGATTTGATACATCATTTATTTAATACATAGATTTGATAAAGTTAAATTTACGTATTATTCATTACGTATTATTATTATTACGTTAATTCAGAAAAATACCTTTCAAAATTCACTTTAGACTTTATTTAAATGCTACAATCTAATCTTAAAAAGCTTTTAATCATTATTATGTGAACAAAGCATAATAAGAAGTAATAGTTTAGCAAGAAATAAGTACAAAGAACATTGAATTTAATATTGAGTCATTGAAAGATATAAAAATATTCTACATATATGTACAATGATAAGAATAAACTTTCATAATAGATAACAATATAACTATGGATATAATGAAAACAAATAGCAAAGGATATTTGATACTTCTCTCAATATATAGATATTTCTGACATTTTTACCTTTTTTATTTTTTATTATAATAAATAAAACATTGTAATCCAAATTTTTACTAGAAAATTTTTATTTTCCTTAACTCAACATAAAGATGACATTCTCTTGTTAATAATTTTAGTCATAACTACAAAGATAAATTTACATTGAATTTAATGGAAATAAAGAAATATGGTTGGTTAAGCTGTGGAAATATCTTCATGAAATATAAAACAAAGTAATGTCAAAGTAGCTATTTTTTATTGCCATAACAAGCTGAAATAAAAAATCATCCATGTTCAATTTCAGAATATCAATTTGAAACAAATATTACTTTGCACAAAGATAAATTTATGCAGAAACTTACTTTATAATTGATAATGGAGGCATGCCTGGGTCAGCACCTTTTCTAAATCCTAAAAGGTAAATTAATCAATGAGTTACGTGTCGGTCATACGTTAGATTTATTAGGAAGATATACGCATTCATTCGTATTATAAAATAACTGCACATATAAACAATTTGAAATTAATAAATGAACGATCAGGTGGAAACATGGAGAAAAATAACTAACCTAAAAATAATATAGCAGGAATAAATCCCCAATGAAATATAGTTTTGCTGACATCTAAAACAATTGCAATTTTTTGCTTTGTACTCGGACTCATCGCCATTTTCGTATAATTATCACGTGTAAAATGTCTAGACTAATCTTGAATATTATGAAATGGGTATACACAACTGTTAGATTATTTCGAATGATCACGAATACCAGATGTACTTGAAAACGAACATATACCTGATATACTTACTTCTCTAAATGTACATGTGCTTTTTTGGTTTCTTTCCGTCGGCTTGTTGGATCTTTCCACTTTTCGTTCATACGTTGAAAATCATTAAGTCATATTGCGCTATTGAGTCATTAATTGGAGACAGCCTTTAATTGTTTTATCGAAATTATTCGAAATAATGCATCTATATAATATCTTATAGTCTATGTCCATGTTTTGACAGATTCGTCCATTCTGTAGATTGTAGACTACGCGGATTTCGAACTACTTCAATCATTTTTTAACTTCCTCGATGGTAATTTCAAGTTTTTACATTTATTGTTGTATATTTTATTAGAAACTAGTACCAAGTAAAGATTGTAATTGTGTGACGATTGTTGTGTAGTTTTTTAATGCGTGAACATACAATTAAATAAACATTATACAATATACTTTATACATATTGTTTCAGAACTCACCACATTATTGCATTTGGGGATTATGTGAATCACAGCAATATTGTTGTGGTGACAATGTTTGCTGTAATGAAACTGATTTTAATTTTTTATTTTTAACGTATGTTTGATGATCTTATAATACAATATAATACAATACAATATAATATAATATAATATAATAAAAAATTATATTAACAGGGCTATCATTTTTGGAACAGTTGTCTTTCTCACATTATGCTGTATTTGCTATTATTGTACCTCTCGACGAGTTCATGCATCTTTCTTAAAGAAATATTTCAAAATTGCTTATACTGTAATGTCTAACCAACGAGAAAATGAAACAAATGCTGCAAGGAATCAAGAATCGATAGTGGAAGACTGTGTTGTACGAATAGAAAAGACAAAAACTATGCTTTAATAAACATTCTTTATATATGTTCTATATGCCTTTTTTAACCCAATGTTAGCAGTTGATTGTAATTTTAAAAAATGGAATTCTGTCTATGTCAAAATTCTCTCATGTATAACCAATAAATGTAATAAATGTGTAGCTGTATATGAATAAGATCGTTCAGAAATAGACATCTTATATTTTTGAAAAAAAACATCCATAATGGTGTGAAATTTTATTTGTTTCAGCAGATAATAAGATTAAGCTTGTAAAATAATGGCTTTTTTTAAATCTAAGAAGCTACTTTTACTGTCCAAAAATTACAAACCAAATTTTACCTTGCAATTTGAAAATAACACATTTATGAAAATTAGAAAAGAATATCCTATTACTTGAAATTAAACGTCATTTATTAAACTTTTATGCACAATTTACTTGTATGTTAATGCTAGAATAAATTACGTATATATTAAATGTTATGTTACGTGTTAATTCATTCTATGATATTTTAATAAAGTTTATTTAGTAAAGTTAATTCATTTTGCAATTTTTAAATAGAGTTTATGAATTGTATGTGTGATCCATTGCAGCCTTACGGTTATCTTGATTTTCTGTACGAACCGATTACATGCAATAATAATTTTTAAATAAAACTCATCAATAGAATTACTATGTTATATTCTTGCAATTTAGAGAAATTAAAGAATCTCTCATTTAAAGAGTTTTAATTTCGCGGGTATTAAAGAGTTTATATTCATTAATCAATTTTATTTAATCAAATTAAAGTATGAAACGCATATTGAATTACTAATTGCAGATATCCACATTTCAGATCCGTAAATTCTGTTCGCATTTTGGTTTAATGTATCATTTCTTTATTTGCAATTTATTCCTTTATTTGATATGATCGTTACTGAAAACATTTTTATTATTTATCCCTCAGCACAGGTTTTCCAAGAATTTGACGATTTCTGTTCGTAAACGAGTATGAGTGACCTGTTACAGGGCCTCCCACTCCTCATCAACCGAAATTCGCTACGGCGCGGGGGAGTCAGTTTAGTGTCGAAAATTGGAGCGATTAGACGTGTATGGTGTCACTCTGTGACAGGTGCCCATTTATTTCTCTACATAAGTAGTATTTTTATAATGATTCTTTCATTGTTCAAACTTACACTAATGATAAATTCGTTCAATTATCATACGTTTTTACTTAATATAATCATTATAATCCATTATTTGATTATCTTCTTTTTTTCGATCATCTTTTCGGTTGTTATATTTGCCGGTAACTCATATCATAGTTTTCAAGACGCAGTTCAATCTTGATCATTGTTTCATTTTTATATAATTTGTTCTTTTTATACATTTGTTCTAATGTTTTCGTCTTCTTTTGTGCAGATTATTGCTTGATCGCGAGATAACTTTCGAGGTATTAGAAGGACGCTACGAAATTCAAAAAGATGCCGCGAAATTCAAAATGGCACCCCGGTGGTCGATGATAAATTCGAGATCTTTTCATGGAAATTTGGTAATACTTTTGGTTGTCATTTCACTTTTTTCAGTAGTTTTTAATAGTTTCTATTATATTCGAGAAAGAACACCACCATAGGCTGGTTTGAACATGTTCTGCAGATCGCGTCTTTTCTTGCTGCGCAGCTTTATTTAACGGACAAGAAAAGCCAACCATATTTTATGTTGGTATATTTAAAACTCTAATGGCGGACATTTAGTTTGGCGGGCAATTTTTACAAATCATTTAAATTATGAAATATTCATAAATATTTGACAATTTATTCAAAAACTTTGACAAAATATTAACAAGGGAATATAGTTTTTGATATCCTTGATATGATATTTCTTTATCTTTTATAAATGTATAATAATTAATTTGCAGTTTTGAAGGAGCAATACATATTTTCTTCGTAACCTTGTATTTACTTCATTTAATTCTATTCTATTATATTTTACATTAATTATTACTAATTAGAAAATAGTATTCGATTAAAAACATAACAAGTGTAAATTTTCTATTTTTGAATTTAGTTATTATTACAATTTTTTGCTTAATACGAATCAGTCTTTTATCATCTTAAACTTTGAAAATAATTAATACTGTCATTAAGAAGAAATTACAATATTCTATCGTTTGTTACAGGTTGCTTCCAGCATTCACTTCTTCCCCCGAAATTGGTGATTCCAATTTGATGGCAGCTTGGTAACGACGTTCCTTGGGTTACAACGATATTGAAGACAATGTTCTTCGCGTCTAATCGTGAGTCGCATGCATTTTTGTTCTTCTGGTCACTCAATCATGTCGTAGGATGAAAGGTCCGAATCGACACGGGTTGACTGGTTGTATCACGTAGAATTTTTGACGAGCATAGTGACCGCGGGTATTTATTATACTCGTGAGTAGTAACATTTTTTTGTCTGTGTTTTATTTATTAGTTCAGGATAGGTTTTCTTGCACATCGCGTTTTTAAATGTTGATGATAATGTATTAACATATGTTGACAATTAGCATACTTATACACGATTAAAAATTACAGAATATATTCACTAAAATTATTTACAAAATCAAATTATATTCAATGTGACTATTTATGAAGATCAAATGTTCATACAAGAATGTGTATGAATATTGAAATAAACAACGAAATGACTTCGTTTAAATATTTTGTAGTGGAGAAGTTTGGTACCCTCAGAATTCGTTAATATGGAAATTCAATTCTGATTAAAGTTATTACAACGTTGATAAAGATTATAAATGATATTTATTTTAATCGTTTACTCTATAATGGTATGGAGCAGTTTTATTATTTGAGCATACACAGTATAATTTCAGTAAAATTCGAAATATGGAATATGAAAGTATATGTTAAAGCCTAACTTTGTCCGCCCGTTAAGATAGATATTATAAAATTTCACGTGCAAGAAGACACTTCGCGACAGGCAGATTTCAGAATCAAAACAAGTTTTGAACGTTCCTTTGTGTTTTCAAAGATGTGTTTTGATAAAGATATCGCCTGAGGATATTTCGATTAATAGAGTTCATTTAGAGTCCATTGTTATTCATTGGTATAAATATTACTTGCATCGAATCTTAATTTATATTTGATAAATATGTATATTCTTCGTTAATTTCCTTCATTTTAGTTTAACAATTTAATTGTTCATTGAAATAATAAAGTAAAATAAAGTATAGCATTATTAAAATTTCAAATGAAATTAGACTGTAAAATCAAATTAGCCCGTTAGATGCAAAATATAATAGATAAGCTAATCATATTTTTAGCATAGGATTTTCAGGTTTAACTTCTTCCATGTTCATTGCCTGAATCTCACTCACGTGCCCAGGTGCTTCTTGGGTGGGAAGAAGGCAATGGGCATGACGATTAGTCTATAAGCCTAACAATGTTTTCAGCGACTGACATTGCGTTAGCGTATCGTGCACGACGTATTTTCCACTGTGTGTGTATGTGGTTAGGCCGTGGAATTGCGTCGTTTTTGCTTTTTATTATAATCTTGAAACACTTATGGAGTTCAGAAATATGAATCCAATTACCATTGGAAATATTCAGTGCTGATAAATACGTATAGTGAATTATAAATAGTAATATTACTAATCTCAGTATAAACTACAAAAAAATTAATAATTGATTAGAGTTCGACGATTTCTTCTAGTAAAATTATTTCTTTAGATGATATACATATACATGATTATATACGATTATGAGTATTTAATTAAAATTGAGATTTAAATATATTTGGATAATTAAAGTTGAAATATACAGAATATTTTTACGCAATGGTCGCTAGCCATCGTCAGTCGATTTCAGGAAAATGGTACGTACACTTTAGAGTGTGAAAGTTGTATGTCAAACTCGGGCGTCAGAGGCGCCCCGGGACGTCTCTCTAGTGTAGGCTCTTGCGCCCGGGTTATGTGTGAGAACCGTGGAGTGAGTGTGTTGGTGTGCTGTCTGTTTTGCTACTTTTTAAATATAGGGTTAGGTAGGATAGGTAGTATACCTTCTGGTGTGAGTGTTAATTATAAGTAGGTAGGGCCGGGCAGGTTGGCACAGTCTCTGGTCGGGTAGGCGCGATTTCGCGTGTCCAACCTGTTTCAGGAAATTTGATTTGAAAAATCGACGGCGAAGCTGGAAACAAGAGTTGGAGCATGCCACTCAGCTTAGGCTTTGCCTATCGGTTTTTCGAATTTCGCGGTCGTGATCGCGAGCAGGAAGTCGATTTCGAAACGAACGTTTATATATTGCTCGAGCGCACACATACGAACAGATAGCGATCACTATGACCGTTGGTCATCCATGTTCACTTGAATTGACTCGCGCGATTTAAATTTTTAGTTTACATTTGCGGGTTATTTTTTTGTTTTCCGATTAGAAAGACTCGAGCTAGATTTAAGTTTCAGCGGGCATTGCGCTCGAAGAAAGAAGAGGCTATGAGCCGAAGAGGCCCGGCAAATTTGTCATAGAAGAGGGCAACTACTAATGGCTTTCCATCCTCTGAATTTCGGATCATCCAAAGCATGGAAAGTCATTCCCGTTACTATTTTGTCACTATGCTCGCTTGTAGTATTTGTAGTAGTAGTAGTAGTATTTTTTTTTCTTTTTCTTTTTGCGGTGTATATGTCGGTTCACCACCGCATTGGGCAAATCACGGTTTTTGTATTAGTATTGCAAGAGATTAATTATGGTTTGAATTAGTGTTGCGAGAGATTGATTACGGTTAAAATTAGAGTTGCAAATTATAACATCGCGATTGTTTTTAGCAATTTTGATTATGAATTGTCAGAATTTTTTAGAGAACGATACATTGATACATATTAGCTTTCGCATGGCTGCCCTGTTTGAGCACGGTAATACGTTTGTGAAGATAACATTTGCTAAATTAATTTAATAATCTAATAATCTGATCTGTTCAATCTAATAAAATAAATCTAATAAAATAAAAAAATAATTTAATAGAATAAAAATTTATCATATTCTTGATGAACTTCGATTCATAACAAATAATATAACAATTTTGTTCACGTTTTATTAAATACGTTAAATTGGTAGGTAGATACGATATTCGCTTTTTAATCCCTTATAATATATTACATTTTTATATAAAATGAATCAATTTTATATATATCTAATTTTCACTTTAGATCTATACGTAATAAATTTTAGTACACCTAAAAAATTTACAAGAATTGTATTAGTTCCTAAAAGCTATTTACTAAGAAATTCCGCCATCGGGTCGTCTTCACGTTGTCGCTTCATTTGAAATGCTTCGATCTCATCCATTGTTGGTTCTTTAACTTCATACATGCTATTGTAAGGGCGTTTTCTTTCATTCATTTGTAGCAGCCTTTCCGCTTCCTTTTGTCTTTCTTCCTCTTTCTGCAATGCTTGTTGTAATTTATCTTGTTCCTGTAACTTAGCAGCTTTCTTCTTATTCTTTCGTTTTTCTTTCTGTTTTTGTTTTTTCTCCTTCCTTTTAGATGATTTCGATTTTATCGGCCTTAATACCTTTTCTTCTTCATCCGAGGATGTATCGTTACTTACAGATTTTTCATCGGATGAATTTATCGTTTCCTCGTTAGACCTTTCTTCCTCGTTTACTGTTTTTTTAATTTCAATAACGGCTGCTTCGGCTGTCTTTTTACCTGCATTTCCTGTACAGTATGAATTTTTTATAAACGAATGACAGCACTTGTATCCCCATTTACCAGCATGCCAGTAAGAACCCCAAACGCAAGTATGATTATTTGGATATACATCTTCTTCGTACTTAGAGCGAATTATTTGTCTGTCTTGTCCTTTGATGATCTGCAAATAAATACAAATTATGAAAAATAATATAATTTAATTAACCTTCACAGTCTAATAATATATGAATATACGTACTTTTCCATATCTGGAATATTCGACATATTGTTCTGTTTGTGCTAGTAAAAGAGAAGGCGGAGGAGCATCGAGATGTTCTTTACCCCCATATTTATTAATTATACTTTCACGAGCTTTATCTTTCAGTTCGTCGCGTTTTTTATCATATTCCTGTTTAAGTAATTCCAATTTAGTGGGTTCAGCGAGTAAATGAACGTCAACGCCTCTTTCATGCGCTTCCCATGCAAACAATTGAGCATTTGAATGTCGTTGTGTATCTCCCGAGAAACGCGCAAAATTTTCACCTTTATAATCCACCCTGAAACATAATACAGCTACTTTAGTATTTTTGAATAATGTAATAGTAATACAGACGATAACGGAATGTATAAGATAATTTCTGCATACTCTCTGTCTGTGCCGGTATAAGGATTGTCACGCATGGATCTCGTTTTAGGATCGTAATATGCCGAATTTGGATCCAAGTTTCTTAGATACTTTGCTGTATCTTCTCTAATTCGTAGATTTCTAACGGTAATACGTTGTTTAGAATCTACTTTTGTCCCAGGCATATCAACCTCGTCAACATATTTGTCCTCATCTTTATCCGAATCCTGTTCATCATTCTCTTCCGCGTTTAACTTTTCCGCACGCATTTGTCGTTTTGCTTCTTCAATCTTTTGATATTCTTCGATAATAGCTCTATGCTGTGAAGGATCATAACCAGCCCACCTGCATTAAATTAATATATTCAAAATATTGTTTTATATTAATATTTATATTTAAAATTTACCAAGTATTTCAGTATGTACTGTATCGAGTAAAGTTCAAGATAAACCACCTGTCTCTTTTGCCATCGTAGTCCGTAGATAATTCTGGTTGAGTAAACTCATCTGGTGCTATATTTGCATTTGTGAATTTTGCACCTATTTTACGTGGACGTTCCATACATTCCTTTTTCTTGTGAGTTATTGCTCCACAATTTTCACAGGCTCCTTTACGATACTTTGTTGCTACTTTAGATGAATCTACACCACGTTTATACCATTCGTCTATACCGCTATACTGCTTTTGTTTTTCAGGCTGCGGTCTTTGATGTTTCAAAGTAGGCCCCTTTAAATATTATATATAAGTAAGTATTATATGTTTTAACGTTATGTGCGCTGACTATAAAAAGAGATGTCAATTTCTTTAAAAAGTTAATGCATACCTGTGCGCCAAAATACCATGGCGTAGCACTAATGTATTGTGGAATGTGTGGATTAATATCTTTGCCTTCTTCATCTACTGCAGCTGGTGCTGTACCAGCTTTTCTCGCTTCTTCTAATTCCTTAGCCTTTCGCCAATCTTCTCGACTTTTTTTCTTGGGTTCGTCTTCGAAATTGCTTTTGTTCTTTATAATTTTTGACACAGGTACATTGGCTAGAGTATTAGCCATTTTGATAGAGACAATTAACGTTAGATCAATTTTAACTTTGTAAGATTATTTAATTTCGGTGTCTTGCTCGTAAACTGACAAATACTGGAACTAACCTATACATAAGATAAAATCTAACGACAGACGTAAACAGTTATGGAGTTTGTGTTACGTGTTCTGAAATACCAATCGTGTAAAAAATCAGAAGCCATAGACGAGCTAGTCTATGGTTATGCCCTCTGCTATTTGTGGTCGAACTACAAATAAGCTGCGTGGTCGAACAATGTTCAATTGTAGGTAGGAAATGGTAACTGTTATACCTTTTGAGCAGCATCTGGTTTCTGGTTTAATTTATGTACTGTAGTTTAGTTTATTCATATTGGCAACCCTGTTTTCGATGACGTCATTGTAAAGTTCCGAAATTGAAATCAATAAGTGGTGTGCAATGTTGTGTGCACATGATAGTCGGACCGAAATGGTGATTATATCAAAACAATTTGTCAGAGTGTACGGTTTTTATTTATTCAGAACGAAGGTGTAAATATTAATTGAGAAAATGGTACGAAATACGAAGAGAAAGCTGGCGATATTCGCCGGAACGTCGAAGTGTTTGATATACGTGAGTGAATATTTTTCGTTTCAGCATGTACACATTTGATGCCATTTAACAAGAAATATCAAACGAAAAGTTATTCTCTGTATTCTAAATTGGGGAAAGTTCCTTTCGAAATGAAAGTACAGCGCGAAGTGGATCGCAACGTTCAAGCGTTTGCTTCCTATTTTGATAAGATTTACCAAAAACTCGCTCCTTTATTTCATAATGATCGCGATTATTTTGCTCTTAAGATTAATTTGTATGATTTACATCTGTGGATGTACGTTGTAAGTTGGTACACTATTTAAAACGTGATATTTGTTTCAGGCAGAAGCAAAGTATTGTGCCTCTGAAATGCCTGGAGAAACAAAATACTATGAGTGAGTTTCATACACGTAATTATGTTTATCTTTTAGTAAGTTAAAAGGGGGAATTTTTCTCTTTCTTTTTTTTTCTCAAATAACGAAACGAAAGACGACTAATGAACGTAATTAAAAAAAAAAAGAGAGAGAGAGAGCTAATGAAAGGGGAAAGAAAGAGGAAGAAGAAGAAGAAGAAGATGGAAGAAAGGAAGGAATGTTCAGAGAGGAAGAGAAAGATGGGAAGAACGAACGTGTAATTACATGTAAATTCATTTTAGGTGCTCTAGAACCGAATATTGTTGCGGTATTGGTTGTTGCGTGTCACCAGGACTACATTTTCATCATTTATGGTATTATTGGTGCGCAAAACAATTTCACAGATCATTCTGATCGACATCTCTAAAGAAGATACAACATTTTTACGATATTCTCACGATTTTTTGTCGTTCGTTAGGATATTGGTAATAATTATGTTCCTGGTATGCTCCGGTGGTGGCTGGTGGTATCGATACTGGTTACAAGGAAGATACAGAGCGGCTGCATCGGCTATTCCGACTAGAACTACGAACGCGCGAGCCCAAAGTTCTCTTCGAGGGTCAACGTGTCAAGGGCAGAGGGCTCGTATTACGTACAATTCTGCGAGAAACACTGTATTATTGCATCGTATGTGGAAAGGCGAGTGTACATTTGTCTGGTAAATAATTGCGACGTATTCGATGTTGATCAATTTATTTGTGCTCTTAGGTCCTCAAAGAAACGGAGCGATGCCCGCTTACACCGGTAATGCGACAACATCGGGCCATTATCAGAACATGAGCGTTATGTTGAACGATGCGAACTGTCCGTACTACCAATTATATGGCCCACCTCCAAGCTACGAAACTGTGATAGCTCAAACACGTGGTAAGGTATCAAACGCGACGTCACCGGAATCGACTAGCGCGCGATCGAGTTCGTTCGTTGCGCCAGCGAATTCGAACGTGTCCCAATGCTTCTCTTATACTTGCAATTTCTCTACGAGATTGAACAACAGTCTGGATCAAAACACGCAATACTCGAGTGGCGGTACGAGTTCTCGGCAACTCGAAGGCCGAGAAGGTATTCCATTCGCGCATTTTCCACCGTATTGCGCCGTCGCAGACGGAAGTACGAGGCAAAACGTATGCATTCCTTTCGCCTATCAGGAACAACCGTTCGTTTCTAGAGATACCTTTAACCCTCTGTATCAAGCTAGTTCCATACACTGTGTTCCGTATCCGATGGACAAATCGTCAGACACGTCGGATCCAGAGAATCAAAGTTACCAAGTGTCGAATGCCGAAAGGTATGCGATGGTAAATGTCGATTGTACGGCTGGTAGTAGCAGAGAGCAAGGTATTTGGCAGTCGGACGATCGTTCAACGTGCAAAGTACGCGTTAGCCAAGTAAACAGAGATACGGATGACAGTATGGAGAAAAATCTGGGAGAACAACGAGAAAATACATCGATGGTAAGAGGGGCGGCGGGTTCTGCTTCTCCGCTTAAAATCGAAGAGAATCAGTCGGACGATTCGAAATCCGTGGATTGGTTGGAAAATTTCGATTCCGAGTTGGCAAAGAGCCGTCGAGTGTACGGCGGTTCTTTAAAAGCAAGCGGCAGGTACGCCGATAAAGAAAGATGCGAGGAATATTCCGTTCAAAGGGCTTTCTCGAGAATTTTGCCCCATTCCTGTGACGGACTTATTAACACAGAGCCAGCTACGGCATCTGTCGATGTATCTCATAACGTAAGCTCTTTGGAAGAGAGAGCCGACTGTAGTGCGAGTTCTTTTCAATCAAATCCATCCAATAATGTGATATTAGAGCGTTTCGGTTCCGACGGCGCGTCTTTCTCGATGGAAAATATCGAGAAACTTGAACAGTCTCATTCCCGTCTCGTAAATACTAGTACAAATTCTGATCTTGAAAGTAAATCTAGATTAGACAGATCGAAATCACTGGACTGAGCAGTTATGGAATACTTTGCTATCGTACTACGCGTATATGTAGTGCTTATTCTTCTACACGTTATTGATTCACGCGTATTTGTGTACGATCGTGTTAGCCGGAAATCGATCGTGTTAACGATTTATCTCATAAAGTTTTCCTGTAATCGATATAACGAAATCAAGAGAGCGTCGCGGTATTATATGTTCTCCTTTTTAAATACGAAACTCGTCGAGTTTCGGATTTAAGAGTTGATCGTTTATCGAACGACAAACAACGCTTAATCTATCGTTTGTCTATATTCCAATATACATTCCATATACTATTATTATCCTCTCTTTTTCGCTCCTTATATGTATATGTGTATAGCTATGCGCCAGATTCTCGTATTCGAACAAGAGGCTCACGGGACCATATTTGACACTGTTCAGTTTGTCTCGATTATTTATCGGTTACGGGATAATTTGTTATCTACTAACAGTCGTTAGTACAACGCAATAACGCGTGACTCGATTGGATCTCGTTTTTTACGATACGCGATACTGCCAGAAATCTTCGGTCAATGTCCTGTTCGCTCGAACGATGGCTCCGAGCTGTAAACGTTAATCGGTTAACAAATATTCCATTATATTTGTATCCTTTTTCCTTCCTTTTGCGAACGAGCTCAACCAATTCCAATTACGCACAAGGGCGTCGCTCGACGCTGTTCTTAATCGTCCTACGTAAACGTATCGGTATGCCAATAACACGTTAGCACACCTTTTTCTAATCTTCGCACGAAACGTCGTACTTTACAATGCCACCGAACAGTTTCTAATTCTAATTATTAGGTTAAACGTTATTATAGACTATTTCGTATGTCGTATTTTCAACAGAGATGTTACGAATCAAGATGGTGTTTGACGAGATCGGTTCTATTCCCTTTTTCGAACGGAGGAACCGCGTAACTTGCTTTCCGATTCGATCGAACACCATTTACGTGTTGCGTATTTCTTTCATGTGCACGTGAATACAATTCCGTGAACGTTTAAGGATTCTTCGTCGATATCCTTGAAGATGCAGCAACTCGATCTACGTGTAACACCTTACTAATTTTAAGATACGCATATGCTACGAAAGAGTTTCTCTTATTATTGCTTTGTCAGATGGGATCGGAAGAACGAGAGATGTACGTTACCGCTCACAGGTGTCCGAACATTCTAGTCAATTTGTACGAACGGTATACATTACGCCTCGTAACGATAGAACCACCCAAAGTCGTTTAACTTTTATATTTTATGCCAAGTATTTGTAAACATTAATGCTACGAGAAACGACGTACATCGCGTTTGAACTTGCTATTTTTTAATTAAATTATATTCCTGCGCCAAAGTGTTTGGATATTTTTGAGCGATAGTACATACACGTGTGCGTGCGTGCGTGCGTGTATGATTGCGTCTGTTTGCTGCGTTTGTTTGCAAGCGAATGACTGGCCGATGACGGCCGACAGGCTAAAAGGAGATGTTTGAGGATATAGACTAAGCTAAGGATGCGAGGACGGAGTAGGCGATGGTACGAAACGCGAGAAATCCAGTGAAAAGTCAAATCTCATAGAAGAATTACACGTTCGAATCCGGCTTTACGGATTACCATATCTCGCGAATGTCTTTATTTTTACTTATCGGTTATTGTTCTTCTCAATTTATACGTAGATCGTAAGAACGAATCGCGCGAACCAATGTCACTGACGGTATAAAAAGTGGCAAGGTCGGACAAATGATAAACCTGACAAATCACATTTTTATAGAGAATCGATTTTTATATTTAGTATGCCTTTTGCAGACTTTGTGTTCTCGTTGCATCGTCGACCACTTAACAAAATTATTGATAACGTAAATTAGGTGCGTTTAGTATTAACGAAATCAAAATACCGTACTATTCGTCTCCTATCGTTGAACAACGTCATGGATTTATCATTTGTTTTCAAGAAGCTTCTATCTTCTCTTCTCTTTCGTATACGTTCGTTTCGTTTCACAAGACACTTTTCTCGTTGGCCAGCAAACAACGTGAAAATCAATAAAAATAAACTTATTATCGTATCCTTCCCATGATCTTGAAACGAGAAAGCACGTTTGCCGCGGATAGACGGAACAGTTTAGGCAGGTTTGTCCGACGACAGCTGCGCGTCGGAATTGCAGTTATTTTCGCAACACGACGAATGCAGTTGAAAGCAGGAGTCGCCTTGACGTACCATCGCGTGTCTAAGTTTCTGATTCCAAAAGTTTTCGATTGTAACAGCGGTCCAAAGAAAACAGTGTACGTGCCAATAACGAGTCCGTTAGATAAGGTAATGTCGTATAGGGCAAGTCGATCGATCTCGTAACAAAGGAGAAATATAATGACATATATATACATATATATATATATATATATGATATATATCGTATATCATATATTATATATATGTAGTATTATTAATTAAAATTATATATAATTAAATAAAAATTACATACACAAAACGCGTGCGTGTGCATGCATAATTATTTTTTGTAATCGATCCGAATGGACGAGCTATTTTAACAGTCCGATTAAATAAAACGCTAATTAAATAACGCATAAGGTATAAAGTAACGTGGCCAGTTACTATCGTTCCGGATTACGGGGGTCTTCTATAGATTCAGGAAACACTATATTTTGCGTGCGTGCGTAGCCTGCGTGTTATAGCTTTAACGATCGATAACTAGTCCGAATGATCACTTTCACCGTAACGTGCAATCATGTTCGTATTAATATACTGTAAGATATATTGTACCTCACGAAAAGGGTTGTCTTTGCTGAAATAAAGACAAAATATTTATTCACGTACGAGGCTTTTAAAGTCGATCGATCGAATTTCTAATTTCATTTGTGTAAACCAACAAGAACCAAGTAAAACTGAAGTATCGTTTCGAACGTGCTATAAAGTCGTAGTAACAAGCTGTTCATTTTTTACCATCGAATCTCTGCCTTTATTTCTCTTCCACTAAACGCAATTTAAAAATTACAGTTGTCTCCTCGTTCATACGAATTAAACGGATTCAAATTGCGCGTTTCCATCGAATCTTTACCCTTCATACGTCGAATATTAACTTCTGCAATTCTTTTATATAAAATTCTTTACTAGCATCATCTCAAGTTCTGTCTTCCAATTTCCATGGTTTACACGTCCAAATCGTTTCCTTGAATTGTGTTTGTAGACGTGTAAAGTTATTCTTACCTGCATGATAATGCGTTACCGATTGCGCAAGAAGGAAATTAATTCTATCTCTAGTGAATATACAGGATGGATTGGTGATACACGCGGAAAGGGGATGAATCTACGTGAAAAAAGAAGTCGAAAATATAGAATAAAATTTTTTGTTTGTAATTTTTCCATCGAGACAACGATCTAAATTTCTCGAAAACAAAGCCTCGAATGAAAAATTTTTATTCTATATTTTCCACTTCTTTTTTCGCGTAGAATCATCCCCTTTCCGTTTGTACCGCCAGTTACCAACCACCCTGTATATATATATAGAGAGGAAAGAGAGAGAGAGAGAGAGAAGTAGAATAAACGGAAACAAGAGTAGGCTTCGTAGGAACCGGTATGATCGCGTGATATACGATTGATTGGAAAAGTACAACGACACGTTTTTTTTATCAAATTCGCAGAGATAGAGAGGAATTGGAAAGGGATTACTATAGTTAGATTAGAATGGTAAACGGCGTAGTTACCGGCACGAGGCGACGCGACGGTAAAAGATGGCAGGTGCACTGAGGCTCGGAGGAAATCAATATTGAGTGAAGATAGGTAGAGGGGTTGAGGTGCGTCGAAGCATCCCCATAAGAGAGAGCCACGGAAAGTTAGGAAGGCCGATATAGCGGCTGGGCCGAGGAAAACGCTGGAAAATGTCATAATCTCGAGGACTATAGTTTCGAGGGTATAGTTTCGAGCAATACCTCTCCTCTACTTCATTTTCTATCCATTTGTCTTCTCCTATTGAGTTTGTCCACCTCTATTCCGCTCCATCGCACTGTCCTTCCCTCTTCTCCCTGCCTGTCAGAAACCCTCTCGTCGTCCAAGCTAGGATTCGTGCTCGGCAGAGTGAATCGATAAATTTGTAAGGTGATAGTGCGCGAATTGGTGATTACGCGATCGTGCGGGGCAAGATGTCGGTGAAGGTGAGTGATTGTACGCGTTAAAAATACAGATGGGGAGAAAGTTGGCCCGAGTTGGATGACACGGATGAACTTGGATCGAATCGATTCCATCGATGCTGGAAACACGGTCCACCGGCTCCTCCTTACGTTTCACCATTTTTCGTCCTTCCGAATGTCAACGTTGTACTTATATACCGTAGCTGCGGTTGAGCAAAGATAGAACCTGCGGATCGGTTTGGATTATGAGTCGCATATTCCGGCCCTGAATTACACGCAAGACGATCGTGTGCACAGTAAACATAATCGATCACTGATGTTATCTTGCGTATTATCGTATGCCTGTATGTATATGGTACGCGCGCGAGTCTGAATAATGTTTCTCTCGTTATCGCTCGATAATACTATGTCGCTGATACGTTCTATTAGTATCGTACGCCACGCAGAAATACGCAGTATAAAAGGTAATATCAAAATTATCGTGTTGCACAACTAGTGAGACCGAGTAATCGTGCGTGCAAGACGCTCGTAACAAATACGATTCTCGTTGGATTTGTCAGCCCTTTAGATAATAATATTCGGAATGTGATGGAATCGATATCGTAAGAGGCAACCTGTATGCTCGCTGTAATGCTTCATTTGAAAAGATTGAAATCGAAGAGAAATTAGAGGGAGGTTTTTACGAGCCCTCCAATTGTCAGACTTTTATATCGATGTTTAAGCCGGAAAGCGGTTACGTCGAACGGTGGTTGCAGACGAGACGTTCGCCATACAATTGTTTTAAAAGGGAAACGACTGGCTAGCTCTTTTTCTTCAAACGCGAGTGTCGTGAACATAGCGGAACACAATGCGAGACGAAAAGCATTCTAATCGTATTAACGAGGCTACAAGTGTCTATTTCCTGCTAGGAGGTCAGAGACGAAACAAGCAACTCGATTGTAGACGCGTGCGCGCGCTTCTTCAGATCCTCATGTTTGCACGCGTGCAGTTGCCGCGTGCAACCAGCTTGCAGTTTTAACACGAACGTTCGTCGTGTTTCTCTCACAAAGTGTCTCTCATCGTTGCTTCTCTTTTTCGTCAGCCATTGTTTGATCTCGCTTTCGTTTAAGGAAAACCAGATTTTCGGTCAGTCGGAACCTGTTAAGCCAATATCGCTAGACTGCGGATATTTATGCAAATTCACCATTTTTATGAACACGATCGAAGAAATGGAATTTAATCCGAAATTTGTTTCGAGTCTTGTAAATAGCGTAACCAATATTTCCGATGTTTTTTTACGCATGTTTACGCGTTTAGTGAAAATTTGCCATGTACCTTTCTATTAATTATACGTCAGGTAACGAAAGACGACTGTTCGCGTTGTAATTTCATTCGATGCACAGCTTGATCTCGATTTGAATTTCGTTGTCATAAACAAAGCGAGTAGAAAGCTCATCGTATGTACACAGAAATGGAAACCTTTTACGGGTGTATTCTGCGTGTCACGCGAAACATTGGAAAATTTCAATAACATTTTTTTGTTGTATAATAAAATTAGTAAGATTGAAAAATAAATATAGACCCTGTGAACAATTATACGACGGTTTTAACGCGCGATGAAAATTCAATTTAATCGATTTTGTATCACGCTCCAGATTTCGTACACCGATGCGTGTATATTGTTTTTACTTTCGTTTTTAAAACGGTGACATTGGAAGCTTTCCTCGTTGTTGGAATATCGGCGTGCGTAATGTAGCGTAATTGCGAATATTATACAAATTGCTGTTAAATTGGAGAATATCGCGGGGGATCGAATATATGTCGTTGCTGATTCTATTCAATTCCATTCGTAGATAAAATTAAAGTCGATGATTTCAGTATGTTTATTCCGTACGCGATTTCTGACGAACAATCGTATTTTTCGTCTAATTTCCGTATGCGAAAGCCAGGTATTTGTTTCGATTTAAGGCTCGCTCGGCGTTGTCTATTTTTAGTTTTAGTCTAAAAATGTATCGCTACGGGCAATTTCGCCACTGAATTTTCACATTGCCGCCTCTTCTGTGTCGGGTCCAAGTACTTATGCGTACTTTCTCCATCAATCCACGTTTTTAATTTGCAACGCGATGTTTCCATTCGTTTCGTACCGCGAGACTTTTTGAAAAAGCTTCGCGAGTAATTAATTACATTATCTGGTATTCGACAGCTATTGTGTAATAACGAGACTGGTTTAACGTTATTTTATCTTCGGTAAAGTCGTTCCGTGTCAGCGCTTATAGAAAAAAGTATCGTTTGCCCTTGCACACTGACGTCCCTATCTATGACGAATAAGAAGAGAATTTAGCAACTATAAAATGTATTTATGTCTCTAGATGACGATGTTTCAACTTATTTATGGGTCTTGTCTTAGATGATGATGTACAAGCAGGCCGAGTTCGAGGACGAGGACAGCAGTAGCATTGGTTCCGTAGCTTTGAACAGCGAAGGCATCAGCACGTCGGCCACGCACATCAGATACAATTCGGTTGGTTTCTACACGAAAGTGAAGCAATTTAATCGAGATAATAAAGTGCTCGTACACGTGTGGCTGCGAGATTTCAAGTCAGCCATCGATAGATATTCGCGATGAAGGCGCGTAACGCGAGTTAAGAGCGACGATTCTAACGTTACAGTGATAAGTTTGCGAATAATAGTGCAGCAGCTTGAGAATAATCTACACGTTGTTACATACAACACGCCGTGGCTCTAAAGTGGTACAGACGAAGTTAGAGAGATTCCGTTGCTCGGAACAAGACGAAAATAAAAGACAGCGAAATAGTAATGTTTGTTTTTGCGAAAGTCGCGTTTGAGAGCTTCTCGATTTTATTACTTGCACCATTCTGGAGCCACGCTGTAGCTATGTCTGTATATCTATTCGTATGTATTTTTCGTATTCAGGGAATCTCGTTGTGGAGAGCTAGGAGCTTGCTCGAAAGATGTCTTTTTATCATTTGCGTGGGCCTTTTGATCATGGTCGTGATGCTGTCGATAATCATCAGCAGCAAAAACGGCTGGGAAGAAGCGCAAATACTTCGTGTCACTTCGCACGAGGAAGGTAAGCTGTGCAACGACGATTCTAAAACGTTAGGTCGCAGGATAATACGCCGTAACGTAACATCACTGCACGAATCGATATCGGTACTGTAGAAGAGTCTTAGGTCATCTATCATAGCGATCTCGGTAATGACGATTGTATTTTTAGACGATGTTCTTGTGTGGTTTTAACGAAAACGAATCTCTAGTTATCGCTGCCCTTATCGTGTTACATCTTTGCTTTCCCGCGCTCGTAAATTCTACATACTGTGAAATCGGTAAAAGAAAGCGCACGATCTGTAACTTGTATATCGTTAATCCGTCAATGGGTATTATTGATGAATTATTATTTTTCGAAAAGTGGTTGATTTTGTTTTAGATGGTACACACTGTTTAACCGAGCACTGTGTCACGGTGGCTGCTTCCATTATAAATAGCATAGACCATTCGGTCGATCCATGTAACGATTTTTACGAGTACGCGTGCGGTGGTTGGATCAAGAAGAATCCCATACCAGATGGAAACAGCATGTGGGGAACGTTCGATAAGTTCGAGCAAGACAATCAGCTGGTTGTAAAGAATGTTCTTGGTAAAAAAAAAAACTGAACCCTTCGTAGGTTTCTGGTGATCAAGGAGCTTTTTGGAAAAAGGGTCTATAGATAGCGTTAAACGTCGTGTTTCGAAACGCCGAGGTCGAATTTCACGTTACTCTTTTTTACAGAAAGCGCCTCGATCATAAGAAATCGGTTGGAACTTCCACTCTGACTCGCTTCTACCCTTCATTTTTTCCCCTTTTAACGTAGAAAAACCATTCGCCGAAATGAAATCGAAGGCCGAGAAGAAAGCAAAATATTATTTCCTCTCGTGTATGGACGCAAACGACACGATCGAATCGCTTGGCGCGAAACCAATGCTGGACTTGTTGGATTCTATCGGTGGCTGGAACATTTCTGGGAAATTCAATCTAAGCGAGTGGTCGTTGCAAAACAGTATGCATATTCTGCAAAATGTTTACAATATGGATGGTTTATTTACGTGGGCGGTAAACGAAGACGATCGAAATAGTAGCAGGCACATTATACAAGTAAGATACCAGGATGGATCTTTCAAAAATCAAATTGGAAATAATTCTATCGAAATCTCGCCAAAATATATATGCGATATGCGGAATTGATTTCACCGCAAAAACGCTATAAATTTTCCAAACAACTCCATATAATTGCACAATGGTATAATATATTAGTATGTAACATATCATAAAGTATAGTACAATAACACGATAACATAGTGTATAATGACCTATACATATGTATATGTATAATACAATTATTGTACGAAACGATTTACGCTTTCAAGATCGATCAAGGAGGTTTGACGCTGCCAACCGCCGACGATTACCTGAACGTCACCGAACACAGTAAAGTGTTGGCCGCGTATTTGGAATACATGACGAAGGTATAATGGCATTGATTTGCGTTTCGTTTATCTCGATTCCATTGTTTTTCGGCACCTTGTAATCTTGTAACCGGTGAATCGAGTACAGGTACTCGTACACGTTTGCAGATAGGCGTGCTGCTTGGCGGAGAGGCGAATTCGACCAGAAAACAGATGAACGATGTGATAAAGTTTGAAACGGAATTGGCGCGGATCATGACACCGCCGGAGGATCACCGAGATAAAGAAAAGCTTTACAACTTGATGTCTTTGGATGAATTGCAAAATAACGCGTCTTTCGTAAGTATTTCGGATCGCGTTTCTGCCACGTTCCTCTCATGCTTCTGCCGCAGTTTTGTCGTGAAATTATTATGTTCGCAGTTTCGATAAATTCAGTAGATTCTCGATTAACCGAACGTCTCTATACAAAGGTATGAGACGGTAAAGAAAAGCAAACGTTATCGCAAAGATATAAGTCTCTTGACGGAGGTTCTACCGTATCTTTATTATCTTTATAGCCATTCAATTAATTTTAGATGTCCTGGGTAGACTATTTTCAAAATGCGACGCAACTCGTTAACAAAAAAGTAACCGGCCAGACAAAGATCGTGAACTTTGCTCCAGAATATTTCGTTAAATTGTCCAAGCTGGTATTAGAGTACAACAAAACGAACGATGGGAAAGTGTAAGTATTTTCTAGAAAGCCTACGCTGGTTATCACGTATCCTGTCATTCTCTTTTTACTTTTTAGTAGGGATGGGACCTTTCGAAACCTCGGAAACCCAGGAAACTCGAAACTTTCTACTATTTTCGGAACCTTTCAACTCGAAACTTCATGCTATCTATGTCATTTGAAACTCCCGATACCCGGACGATAATTTATATAAATATTCTTATTTATCTAATAACGAGTCGGTTGAGTTTCTGCTTACACATTGGAGCTCGTTTCGATTAGTACGATTTCGCGATAATTTGATTTTCCGAAAGCAAAATTTGTCTTACAGGGATTGATAGATTTCAGTTGTTAGTAAAACAGACGATCTCGAGAACTGACAACAAAAGTTTCGTGTTTCGTAAGTCTACGAGTTAGGTTTCGACCCATCTCTCTACCTTTTACCCTCCAACCTTCTTCTCTTTTTACTTTTTCTCTTTCTCTTTCTCTTTTCTCCCAAACAGGATACTGAATAATTATCTGGTTTGGCAAACCGTGAGATCTTTAACTGCCTGCCTGTCGAGACCGTTTCGCGACGCTTACAAGGGGCTGAGGAAAGCTTTGATCGGTTCGGAAGGCCGCGAGGAGCAATGGCGTTATTGCGTCAGCGATACGCATAACTCGATGGGTTTTGCGATCGGTGCGATGTTCGTTAGAGAAGTTTTCCATGGAAAGAGCAAACCCATGGTTAATTTACACTCAGTATCTTTCAATGATGATAGATATACGTGCTCCGAGGAGCACGCGTTGGTACAATGTCCACTTTAAATGGCGATCTAATCGATTGCAGGCGGAGAAGATGATCGATCAAGTGCGCAAAGCTTTTATCAAGAATCTGAAAAATCTCGATTGGATGGACGCGGAAACGAGAAGGAAAGCCGAGGAGAAGGCGAACGCGATTACCGATATGGTCGGCTTTCCTGATTTTATTTTACGTCCAAATGAACTCGACGAGCGTTACAAGGACTTAGTAGTTAAACAAAACGAGTACTTTCAAAATAATATACGGGTGAATAAGTATAATTTGCGGAAAAATCTAGAGAAGCTCGATCGGCCTGTGAATAAAACTACTTGGATAATGACACCTCCCACGGTGAATGCTTATTACTGGCCTACGAAAAATCAGATGGTTTTTCCCGCTGGTATCCTACAAAGTCCATTCTATGACATGGAGAATCCTAATAGCTTGAATTTTGGTGGTATAGGAGTAGTCATGGGACACGAACTGACCCATGCATTCGACGATCAAGGTATGACGTGTTCTGAAATGTTTCTACGCCAGTAAAGCAGAAGCCCATTTATCCGAACAAGGCGGAGAATACACGTTCGTACGATCGAGGTTGCGCTCAATCTTTCCCGATGGCAAACGCCTAGCCGTAAATTTGTATAGCTGAAATTGAGCATGGCAATTTGTTCGTATAAACGAGGTTTCGTTGTATTTTCATTTTGATTTTATTTGATTCGATGCGATCGACTATCGATTATTTCAAACTAGGAAGAGAATACGACTTGCACGGAAACTTGCATCAATGGTGGAACAACGCTACGATAGAGAGATTCAAAAATAGAACAGAGTGTTTCGTGGAACAGTACAGCAATTTTGAGATACATGGTCGACACGTAAACGGACGACAAACTTTGGGTCAGTTACAATTATTAGACTACTACGGATATATGTATATATGTGAAAATTCATATTTTTACAAATACAACTGAAAAAGTAGGATCTAGTGAAAAAATTGTATTGCCCGTTAAATACTTCACAATGAGTATTTATCGTGTGTATTCTATGCATTTTTACGTTTTTAAATCTCTTACAAATGTATAGAAATTCGCAGTTTAACGATATCGCGATCGTTTTCTTCTAGGAGAAAATATTGCGGACAATGGTGGTCTCAAAGCAGCGTATCACGCGTATCTTTCAACGCCGAGAAGCTACAAAGATCAACTACCTTTACCTGGTCTTAATTTGACGCATCGACAATTATTTTTCGTGAATTTTGCTCAGGTAAATTGTCGTTATCTTATATCCATGACTTCTACAAAATATTGTCAACTATATCTTTGGATCTGACAGCATATTCTCGCTTTTAACCGTTTAAAGTATTCCTTGATAACTCTCCATCTGTGATTTTCAAGTTTAATCATCTTCGTCGATAAACGAACGAAAAGATTGTGCATTAAGGGATTAAGTTAAAGAAAGAAAGAATGGGACGAATTTAAGAATAATTTATTGTTACCAGGTTTGGTGTTCCTCCGTGATGTCCGAGGCGATAGCTCTCCAAATCGAGAAAGATTCCCATTGTCCACCAAAATACAGAGTGATAGGGTCACTCTCGAATCTGCCGGAGTTCGCATCTGAATTTAACTGTCCCGAAGAATCGCGAATGAATCCGATTCACAAATGCGAAGTGTGGTAATGCATCGTCTCTCTGGATTGTCTGTGTCAATGTGGAACTTGTGTTGTTCAACTTCATCGCCGATATATCACGAAAACGAGTCGTTGTAAAAGTTGAAACCTCTCTCGCTTCTGTCTGTAGAGCAACTGTCTCTTCCTTCGACGTTTTCATCTTTATTCGCTTACAAGTTGAGAGTAGCGAATGAAGCGAACGAGAAGAAGCAAATGTTATGCGTGGTTTGCTAGCGATCTGTTGCAAATGCATGAAGCGCGAACCTTTCACGAATAAAAGAAACGTCGAAGAGATAGAAGCGACGAGCACAACGAATTCCGTTGCGACCACGTGATTTTATCCGGTATGAAATGTTAAACGTCCATGTGCTGATTCGCACTGCTGATTTATTCGAAGACGTTGGAATCACAACGAGTCGAGCATACGCGAGTTCAAATGCATTTTTAGTAAGCGTCGAACGAGTGTAATTTCAATAGGATCGTGTCACTTTTGAGATTTCGTAATTCGAATAAATCAAACATCGATCGAAGGTCGGCTTATGCGCGTTCAATGTATCGATCCTTTTGTTCGAGAAAAATCGATTAAGCCAGCTCCGAAGCTGGATTAGAAAGGCACTAGGACCACTATACGAATCGTTAAATTTCCTTACTCGACTATTCGAAATGCGTCACGACGCGCCAATGTTTTTCATTAAGAAATTAATTGACTGTGGTTCATCGTGATCACTGGGGACGATTTAATCCATCGAACCAACTGACCGACCAACTTGATCGACGTTTTCTCATAAACGAAAGCGCGCATTTCTACGTGATAAGTGATTTTTCACTTTTATACTTGAAATCAGTATTATCAGTTCGAATCGTACGATTCGAGTAAATATCAATGATGTTACACGCTGCATACATAACACGTTTAATACGCTTGTATATACCTGCAGAATATAAAGACGCATTCATATTACCATCCAATTGACACAGTGTATTGTTCCTACAAGCAACGAGCAGAAATTTTTAAAAAGTGAAAGGAGATATAAGCGAGGAAACAGTTTATTCAGTTGGAACTCTTCTTCGCCGTTCTGTTCGTGTCGAAGAAGCGATTCTCACCGATCTCGATGAGCCATGGCGATTATAAACGGCACATTGCTGTAATTTCTGCAGGCAGGAAGTTAAGCTCTAGCGTTAAGCTTAAGAAATTTAATTTTCTAAACAAACTACATGCTATATAGTTATACATAGGATAGAAACAGTACGTCGAGCCAACGAGTGTAATTGAAAATGTTGCTACGAACGTTCGAGCAAATATTTGTTTATGCGTATACCTCTTGCCATGTGAAATTCGATAGTTGAGCGAATGTTTTCCTAGTCTTTAACAAGTGCCGTCTAGTACAGTCCTTGGTCGTCGAAACACGCGTTAAGATCAACTGTCCATTGACATTAAGAGAAAAAAAAAAAAAAAAGAAGAAGAAGAAAGAAAAACATGGAAATGGAAGCAAAGTTAGGAACATTTAAAACTATCAGCAAAATAAATATAATTTAAGCATGATCTAATATATCATGAATCTTCATTTTCTGATGTTCGTTCAACTATCGAACGAATGTTCGTAATTGATAAAAGAAAGGCGATTATCGAGAAATGTTGTATATTTCGTGCTCGACAAATTTTCTTTGTCCTCGTTCAATGACGATTAAAAACGTAAAGTTGACGACAGTTGTCTGTTGTGTCTTTTGCGTACCTACATATTATACAAAGGAGTGCGAGAAGAATCGACAAACGATTTCGTGCGTCAAAGAAGAAGTCTTTGAAAATCGACGATTATGTCAGCCATTCTAATATTATATAGTATTTGAAATCATATATTTCTTAATGACGCACGTGTAAATCAAATAAAGGACAAATTAAATAATGACACGAAGATTTTATTAATTGCAGGGAAGAAGGATGCGATACGAGAGATTTCTCAAGTTTTCATTTCCTTTGGTTTCTCCCTCCTTTCCTATGAATCGTCGAATTTACACCGAAGATTAGCACGCAAAAACCATATTTCGAGAATTTAACAGGGGAATTCTGAATTTCACATTGGATTCTCGACTTAGTTCGTCAAGAAGGTAATAGAACTACTGTCGGTCAAATTGTTTCTTCGATACAGCTTGTTCCTTAAATTGGTAAGTATTCGCATCTCGCTAACAATTTGTATAAATAGAACGTACATACGTAGTTTTTGTATCTGTTACGAGAAATGCAACAAGTTATAACGCCAAAGAAATAATTATTTTCTGAATTTTTTGTTTCATCACAATGTCGAAGAGTTAACAGTTTCACGATTGTCAAATTTCTTCAAGTTGGACTTATCAGCAACGAAAAAGACGCGCAAACGATATTCTCGGTGTCTATCGCTCATGGTCAACGAGTATACCGCGATACGGCCAGTAATAAGTTTAAGAAAGGTTTATGATACATTTGGCTCGCGTAAGTATTTGAACACTCGCCGTAGAAAATTTTCACGAACACTTTAACATAAAACTAAAACGAGAAAGAAAGTCCACTCAACGATAAAGATTCTTTCCTGTTTTCCTTCAGCCTAAGAAATTTTCCAATGATGCGATACGATCGAAAACACAAGAGCGTTAAGAAACGTAAATCTTCTATTCCTGATTCCACGGGAACGAATCGGGTCGCGAGAAAATTAGCAGCAACTGTTTCGTTTTAAAACAAACCATGTTTTCTAAGCATGTGCTTATCGTGTTACACGCTGCTGAAATCTACTTTTTTGTAACCCGAGTATCGCTGAACAGCTTCCTATTATAATTTTCACATCAACACGTTTCAAATACATAAGTGATCGATTTCGTAAGCAACGAACAGATTATTTTAGGAGAAATTTTATAATTTGAAATGATACGAAATGATATCTCGTCGTCCATCGTTATTAACATTATCGAGATTTCACGTGCGGATCTTCACGTGCATTTATGGGAAATTTAATTCTGTTTCAGTCTGCGAATGTTTATACGCCAATCTCGCTGCTCTTTCAATCGGCAGAAAGGTTTTTCGATGTTGCGAATACTTTTTACCGTGTTCTTCGATCATAAGGAGGGCAGACAAGTACTCGCGCCTTTTGTCGCATTGCTTCGAGTTAATTTGAATTTCATAGCAACCATCGCATAGAACGATATAGTGTGTACGCGTTGGAAGACCGTACGAGGAATCTGACCAATTTTCCGTGTACCACCTACACGCCGGTGGGTCAAAATACTCGTATGATTCATTCGTCTAGACAGGTATAAGTATAGTACCACAGGGAAAAGGGGTTGGTAGAAGGGGAGAGAAGATAGTGGAGGCGGGGGCTAGTGCGTGCACCGTAATAAAGGCGTTTCTTCGTCGAAAATGCAGAACGATTTACCGGAAAGCAGGATCGTCGGCTAGCCAGACGGTGATGAATGGACAGGCTCACGCATTACTTGGTAGTCACGGTGATTTATTCCAACACCTCCGGCTATTACACTTACGGTACTCGGATTACAATCATCTCGTAAGGTATTATTCTAACAAGCGTTTCCATCTCTACGATACTCGATGATACTTTACGAACTGTACGATACTTGAAAATCAAGAATCTCGTTCATCCGAACTGATCGGAGAACAAGATAGTTCGGGTAATCGAGCAGCTCCAATTATCTCGCTAGCTATCCATTCTAGCTTTTCTTATTAGTTGGGATAATAGGAGTTGGCCCGCCTTGCGCTATAATTCATCGATCAATAATATCGGTGAATCGACAGGTTACGAGCTTTCCTTCGCGATATCAATCTCGCGCCGTTTTCGATCGGTGTGACGCGTGTGTGTGGCTGATAAATCGAATTCGTTGAAATTCGACGGCCGTAAAACCGTCTCCAAAGAAGCAAAGATAAAACGCGTTCCCTACACCTAAACTTTTCGATATACAAGCAAGATCAAGGTTTAGCTGCGACGAGTAAGTGTAAAGTTTTGAAATCGATCGACTCGATAACCTTAGAATGTCCACGATACGATACCTTCGCTGTATCGACTTTTCTCCAAGCCCGAGACTCTGTGAAATATAGCGAAATGTAGCGTAATACAGCGAGGACCTTGTATTTGTTGAGAGCGTTCATTGAGACGGCATGTTTATTCACGAGACGGAGTAGAAAACAAGCAGTGCGTCGGAACGAAACGTATCTGGCGATAAACCAGTTGCAATGTACACAGCGGAATACGATACAACGTTATGGTTTCGTCCTCGAAAACATCTACAACGTCCTAATAGATTTTCATCGTAGAACATTTCATTATAGAATCCTAATTTTCGTTTAAACGCGATGATAGGAGAACGCCGAATGGAAAGGAAAGCGCAATGCATGTCACGATGACGTTGAATTTATACCGTTCTCGTATGTGAAAGGTCTATATTTAAAACGAAGCTAATACATTGCATTTTATTACCTAATACGTATGCACGTGTATCGCGTATATATTGTTCTCTTATTGTACGCCAGCGGGAATCGTATTCCATTGAAATAAAGAAATATAAAATTTAATTCTACAGAGGAACATTGTGTAAAATGTATACAGGGTGGTTGGTAACTGGTGGTACAAGCGGAAAGGGGGTGATTCTACGCGAAAAAAGAAGTGGAAAATATAGAATAAAAATTTTTCGTCTGAGGCTTTGTTCTCGAGAAAATCGACTTTGAATTTTCGCTCGGTACGCGTGCACTTTATCACGCCTCGTTATAACGGATCTCACTGTAGCTGGTTGTCTCGATGGAAAAATTACAAAAAGAAAAAAAAAGATTTTATTCTATATTTTCGACTTCTTTTTTCGCGTAGAATCACCCCCTTTCCGCTTGTACCACCAGTTACCAACCACCCTGTATACATTTTACACAATGTTCCTCTGTAGAATTAAATTTTATATTTCTTTATTTCAATGGAATACGATTCCCGCTGGCGTACAATAAGAGAACAATATATACGCGATACACGTGCATACGTATTA